ATGTAACAAAGACAGCTGTCATAGTGTACAGCATTTGCTATAAATTCAATCACTTTCATAACCTAAAATTCATCAACATTTTTCCTGCTGGTTATTGTCATCCCTTAATATTTCTTGATCTTCAGAAGGTTGATAACAGGTTAAATTGTCTGGGACTCACTGTACTGTCCCTGTGAACTGTCAGCTTTACAGTTACAGTTAATAAATAATCTCAGGGCCATTTTCTGAACCTCTGCATGAGACTAATAGGAGGAAAAATTTATTTCAGTCTCTAAAGGACTGAAAAAAACCCATGGTGCAGAAGGCTGAATTTTATTGTTTGCTTTGCAGCAGGAGAGTATTCAAGAAAAATTGAAATAAATAAGGGGCTTAGGTTTGAAACTAGATTTTGCTGCCTTTTGCTGCCTTAATGCCTTTTAATGGGCATTAAAAGAGGTGCCCAAGTAAGGAAAAAATCACAAGAGACTTCCGTTTTTCCAGTTGCATTTGCAGTTTCCTATAAATACATTTTTGTAGTAATAAAATGGGTGTTTCAAGAACATTTCCTCTAAGGCTTAAGAAGGAACTTCTTTATATTTTCCTTGGATCTAATGATGATAATAATATTATTAATAGTAATATAAAAAATTAAGACAAGTGCTGTTTAAAAGATGAATTCCAAGGCTTGTTCTGTTTTTATTTTATGGACTGTGAAAACAAATACTTGTCAGTTGCTAAGTGCATACTGAGTTACCAGTCTTTGGTCATAGTGGTGATTGACAAAAAGTGGACTTTGGACCAGCAGTTGTTGCCTTCAGCATACTGTAGCAGCTCTCAATTTGTTTCAAAGCTGTTGTTAAAGCATTCTGAATGATTTCATAACATTACTTTTCTGCTAAACCAACTTCTGTGGTTGCTGCAGAAATGATAGTCAGTTACTAATGACATTCTTGAATATGAGTGGAAATTAACAAGGTAACCTGTAGGAAAGGTCTGTGTCGTTGTATTAGAAGTCTTACATTCTGCCTTCTGGAGACTACAAGTCTGTGGGTCTTTTAAATTTGAAAAAAAAAATTCTACAAATATTTTTATGAGCTTGAAAGATGATCAGCTGGAACCCTGGATGCTGAGAATTTTAAACTTTCTGTGCTTAAAGGCAGAGACCCACCAGAAAACACGGCAATTTACCTGAGGCTGTGGAGAAGACTTCAAAAATTGATTGATAGCACTGGGATTATAGGTGTGTCATTGGTTAGAATTGTGTAATATTACAGGGTGGAAAACTTAGAGTTTGGGGTTTTAGAACATAGAAATTAATATGAAGCAAGATGGAGGTTTTAGGGTGGAGGCAGGTTGTTCTTCTTTACCTTCTAATTCCTTTCTTCTTCATGGGTTTGGGTGATGTTTTATAATTGAACAGAAAAGTCCACATTGTGGGCTTTGAGAGATCAATTATTGAGTTAAAAGGGAAAATAATCTAGGTGTCCTCTCTTACTTGGATAGTTTAGTCTTAAAAGACCTTGTAATGAGAGATTGTTAGCCATTTTGTGCCTTGCTAATGAAAGGCTGCCAAACTTGTGGTTGTGAAGCTGTTTCACTGATAAGAAATAATAAACACCTGAGTCCGAACATGAACTACCATCTCAACTGCCTTCAATCCTGACTCAGAGAAACTGATAATGATCCAGAGGTTTCTTTTTGAAGTCACATTGCCAGGTTACTTGTCTTGGGTGTTTTTGAAGTTTGGTGGGTTTTGTCAGGGTTTATTTGGAATGGCATGTCCTCTGTACTGTACTATCTGCTATTCTTTCAAACATAGTTGCTTGCTGTGGCAGTGAACAAGATGGGCATTCAGCAATGAAGCAGAAACTATTTGTATGTGTATTGGTTTGATCAAAGTTACATAATTACAGCTTTTGTTGGGCATTAATCATTCATGAATAGAAGCCTTTCAAGGAAAGAAAAATGTGACTCTTCTTATGACACAAAGCCAAATCTTTTTACTAGTCAAAGTAGCACTTTCAGAATGGACTGTTGTTTGTTCCCACCAAATCTCTGGTACTAAACTGTTATGCAAATTCTGCTTGGGGTGCAGTCTTAATTATTTAAGAGCCACACACCTCTGTCTTTTTAAAAAATAAGCAGCCACTCTAGTATATGATGTTCCAAGAACTAGAACAAGATTAACTTTGTGTACTTCAACCACTTCTTATGTAATTTTCACTCCTGAAATGGTTCCATTCAAGCGCTGAAGTGGTTCTGATCATGAAACCTCTGGTGTTTTCTGCTAGTCTCTTGCTTGTTTAGTAGGTAGGAGATAAAACCTAAAAACAGGGACCAAACATGTTGTCTTCAAACTGGTGATCATGCAAGGGAAGATACTCCCTTCCTCATAGCATTCTTTCCCTGCCCAATGGTTTTCTTTATTCACTCCTTCCATGTTTTGTTAAAAATTCATTTCTTGACTAGTTTCTGATTTTGACTCACTTCTACTTTTTTTCAAATTCATGCAGCATGACTGTCTATTCAGCATGGGAAAGTTTCAGATATGGTCTCAATTTACAAATATATAGTATCACAATTTCATGCTGTTGTTTTGAAGCCTTCTCTGTTCTGCAAGCTCAGGCCATTGAATTTAGTCATTGCACTTTATAAGAGTAGATTTTTATAGAGAGATTTTGCTTTCCCCATTTCATTTTTCTCTAGACTCCCCACAGTCAATGGATCTCTGGCACTGAATTTTAGGCAGAAGGTAATAAATACATTTATTTGCATCTAGAATCAGCATTTAAGCCATAAGCTTGCATTGTGATTCCTCGGCATGCATGTACAATCACCTGGAATGTGTGACTGTTTTTTTCCAGAATATAATGCATGCTTCACAATCCTGAAGCAATTTGAATATCCTGTTAGATTGCAACTATTTTTAGTGGATCCCAAAGGATGGTTATAGGTTTTGTCAAGACAGGCAGGAAAGTAGAGGAGGAGGAGTTGTGCTCTGGGTTAAAAGTGAATCATGAACATATAGTCAACTACAGTGACTGTGGAAGCCCTATCAAATGCCTCTGGATCAAGATCAGAAGGGACATCTCAAAGGGGGATCTTAGATTAGGCATCTTCTACTGACCTCCAAACCAAGATGAAAAGGGCAAAGAAGCACTTAATCAGGGTTGCTTAGCAACTTTTGGATAACAGATCATGGGTCTTTTCGGTGACTTCGACTATCCAGACATTCTTGGTAGAGCAATACAGCAGGTCACAACATCCATCAAGTTCCTGAATGCATACAGTACTGCTTCTTCATACAAGTGTTAGATGTGCTAACCAGGAATGAGGCATGGCTGGACTGGCTGCTCACTAACCAAGGAAACCAGCTTTGCAATATCTCACTTAGTGATGGCTTTGGCTACAGTGATCACAATATTGTGGAGTTTGGGGTCTGGCTGTGCATTCTGAAGGTTAATACTAAGGCAAAGGAAAGTGTTATGGAAAGAATCCTCCTAGGAGCCGTCACAAGTCAGATGAAGCATATGATTGGGAAATGCCAGCATGGGTTCACCAAGGCCAAATTGTGCTTGACAAACCTGATTGCCTTCCAGGGCAAAGTAACCTGCTTGGTTGATGGGGGAAAGCAGTGGACGTTGTCTGCCTGTGTTTCTCCCAGGCTTTCTCCACGGTCTCCCACAGCTTTCTGGTGAAGCTGTGCAACAAGTCTGCTGGATGATTTCCTGTCCAGCTGTTGTGTAACAGTCTAGACAAGCTGCTCATGCAGTGGGTGGGGAACTGACCCTCAGGCAGCCCCCAGAGTGGGGGTAAATAGCTCCTTTTCCAACTGGGAACTGGCACAAGTGGGGTCCCCCAGGGATTGGTGTTGGGCCCAGTGCTGTTTCGTGTCTTCATATGTGGTCATCCAGAGCACTTAAAATCACTCAGGGATCAAGTGAACGCTTTGAAAAGGAGAGCCATGCTGCAGGAAAACCTGGAAGGTTTAGGCTGGAGAGTGGGCAAAGAAGAACCTTTTGAAGTTTAGCAAGGACAGGTGAAAGGTCTTTCACCTGGGAAAACAAATCCAGGAGGGCAGCACAAGCTGGGAGCACAAGGCTGAGGAGCAATTCTGTGGGAAGGGACCAGGGAGTCCCAGTGAGCAAAAAGCTCAATAAGAGTGAGGAGTTGCTGCTGGAGCAAAGGAGCCCAGTGAGGTCTTGGGCTGCATCAACAGGGGCATCAGCAGCAGAGATTATCCCATTCTTGTCAGTGTTTTTCAGGCCACACCTGGAATACTGTTGTCTGTTTTGGTTTCTGCTGTACAAAAAAGATATGGACAGGCTAGGGAGGGTGGAGAGGAGGGCCACAGAGATGATCAGAGGGCTGAGAAGCCTGACACATTCGGAGAGGCTGAGAGAGCTGGGTTTGTTCAACCTTGAGAAATGATGGTTGAGGGGAAACTTATCACCATGTTACAGTATCTGAAGAGTGGTTACAAAGAAGATAGAGGCCCTATTTTTACATGGAAAATATGAGGGATAATGGGTGAAGTTACTCCTGGGGATATTCTACTTGAACACAAGTGGAAATATTTCACAGTGATAACAGTGAAATAAACTCCCAGTGGAGTGGAATAAACTCCCCAGGATTGGTGGATTCCCATTTTTGAGATTTGGCTTGACTGGGTGCTTGGCTGTCTTGTCTAGATCATGCTTTTGTCAAGAAAGGTTGAACAAAGTGGGATAATGGTTGAACCTTTTGAGGTCCCTTCCAACCTGCTATTCTGTAATTCCATGCTGCGTTAGAACTCCATGTCTAAATTATTTGGGTAATTTGAAAAGTTTCGCTTTGTATATAGTGATTCTTTAAAATATTTTAATTTAATATTTAAATAAAAATCACTGAGGTCTAGGATGTGAAGATGACAGGGTGTTGTTATTATGAAAATGATCAAAGTGTTTAGCTATAATATTATCGATAAAGAACAGAAATCTGCTTTTAGCAAACTCATGCTTGAATTCTTACTTTTTCCACAGACTGCATCCTCCGCTATTAAAGGTGCTATCCAGTTGGGAATAGGATACACAGTAGGAAATCTTACATCAAAATCAGACAGAGATGTTCTTATGCAAGACTTCTATGTAGTGGAAAGTGTCTTTCTACCAAGGTAAGAACAAGCACACTCATTAGGATTTTTCCTCAATAAAATTTCATAATTAAACTCTTAATTAAGTATTTTGAACCAGTTTTGTTTTCCAGTTCTAACAAAATCATGTTAGAGTAAGTATAATGTATGAAACTTGAAAACTTTCTAGTCTTCATGGTGTCATTGGAAAGGAAGGTAGAGAGAGAGTTGGAAAGATCATACTTCATCTGAAGATTTGAGACTTAGCATTTATAGAGAGGGAAAGTAATTTTGACACTTTCAATTAAAGGAGTTGTCAATTTGAAGTGCTTTGTGGATCTGACATTCACATTTGATTAGTTGCTTATTAGTTTCTTGATGGTAATACTTGATATTTTGTTGAGGGATTTTTAAAATTTATGAAAATTCAAGTCCTGCCATTTAAAGTATAATATAAAAATTTATACTACAACGTGTCCTTATATTTACGCTATAAAATTCTGTCCAGGACTCTAGTCTGTGGCAACACTCAGCTCTTACAAGATATGCTGATTACAGGTTGTGCACCTTTACTGCTTTGCCACTTCAGCTTGTATCACTGCCAAGCCGATGGTATAGAAATAGTAACAATACAGTTATGCTGATAGGGAAATCAAGGTCATACTGATTTTTTGGTGCTCAGAAGGTGAAGTACAGTGCCATGTACCCTTTCCAGGTTAGATGTGCTAGCAAGTGAGGAAAAAAGTTTAGGAGAAATGTATTTCAAAACCAGGATGGCTTTACTCTTTTGAGTGTTTTCTGGGTTTTCAGAAGTGCTAGATACAGTCATTTAAGTAAGAACATGCTATCTATGTAATCTTTCTTGGATTTGGGATTGATTTCTATCAGTTTTTCAAAGTTTTGTTTATGTGCAGTTTGAATGCTACTTCATAAGATTCATAAATTCCAAATAATTTATAATCCTTAGTATTTACTGGCATCACTAAACAAAGTTGAATTAACAATGTACAAAATAATTGCATACACTTTAAATTTTGGTATTTCCTCGTGTAAATTTCCTTGATTTTTGTTGAAGTGAGATATCCTTAAGGAAAAAAAAATGTTATGTAAAATGAAGCTTTTGCATTAGTTCCTAGTAGTTGAGGGTATTCATATCCTTGTTTCGGTGTTAATGATAGGGTTTGTGCACAGGTTACTATATTTCTCTTGCAGATTAGGAAGATATAGAGAATTTAACTATATGAATGTGTTTTCATACACTATAATCACAAAATTTTGTTTAAAAAATCCAACTCAAAGGTAAGAAATTTGCATATCATGTGACAAAGCTTTTATTAGTGAGAAAAATGTCTGCCTATGACAGTGATAGAGGCTTCTGTGGTATGTTTGCTATATAAGATCTGTTCATGAAAACTAAATGCAACCTACATGCTAAAACTGTTTTATTACATAGCATGGTTTGAGATAGAAAATTTATTATCTTTCTTTTTAAACATAATTTTAAAGGAACAAGTAAAATAAAATGGTTTGTAGTCCATAGCATTGCATGTGCCTTCTTTCCTGTGAGACTCTCATGCATGTACACACAGAAATGAAATTTACTTGTTTTGTATTGTAATAAGGAAGAGTAGGGAGACATCCCTTCTGGCTTGAAAAAAAACCCAAAAGGCAGAAGGAAGAGACTGATTGCACTAATGTAAAATTGAATAGAAAAGCTTTAGTAGTGCCTTTCTGGACAGTTTCTTATTAAAAAAATATTTTGAGGAAAATTAGACAAATGAAAGTAATGGCCAAAGCAGTGTAGTTTTGGGCTTGGGTTTGCTTGGTTTGTTTTTTTTGCATCACTAGGTAGTAAGCAGTATGCAGCATAGTGAGCCATCTTAACTGTAACAAAGAACCTCTCCATAAAGAGCACTCGTTGACAGCATTGTCTATGGAATTAAAAGTTGGCTATCTATAGCAATCTCTTCAAATGACTCGATTTCTTATGCTGATGCATAGAAATGTCCAATTTCAAATCCTTGCTATGTCTCAGTGTAACATCCACTTTTATTTATCTAAATTATATTCCACCAGAAGTGTATTACTGTGCATGAATTATTATACGTTAGGATTGCACAAAATTAATACAGGATTGTTTCTTGCTGGTTCAGAGTATTGGAATGTTGTTTCATGATGGCATTATGTGGATTGGTCCTGAGTCATGTCAATAGGTAACTTCATTACCCATGTTTGAATCAAAAAGCAAAGGCTGCACATTCTTTACCACTGGAACTGCACTCCCAAGGTGCACCTCAGGTGCTCTTTGCGTTTTCCAAGGGGGAGTACCTACTTGTGATGGCAGCATTGTTAAAAGTAATTACTGTAATGACCTTTTTTTTGGTCCCATTTGGATTGGTCTGGATTGAAATCAATTAGTGGAAATTAGTTACACCAGCAGGTGAAATGGGTTGACCTCTACCTGGAAGTAGCCTGGAGCTAGCTGAGATTGAGTAAACTTTTTGCAGAAGTTTGCAGCAGGAGAACCTTACAGTGCAGCAAGACTGGTGCTGAAACAGGTGCTTACCCAGCAAGGAGCAGTATTTTTCCAGTTGCTTTGGGTACAATTAATTCATCTGCAACTTCAAACAGCTATCAGCTGAACTTCCCCTTCATTTTGGCAATATCACAGCAACCTGACCCTTTGCATGGTGTCCTACTCCATCTTCATCCCATGTTTTCTCTGCCTTACCTGTGTCTGGAAGTGAGGTGAGAAGGCTTTTTTTCAGTCAAAGGCACACCTGCTTCTTTGACAGCAACAGGGGCACTGTTGAGGTAACAGTGGTAAGACAGACTTAAGCTAGTAGAAATGCAACACAATGCAGCCTAGGCACCAGTGAGCAGAAGAGTTTTATATCTGCCCTTTTATAGTTAGGGGAAAATAGTTAACACTTGTTTATGAATTTTATAGGTTGAAGAGGATAGTTTCTGCACACCTCTCAAGACCCTGAAATAGCCCTCAACCTGTATCTCTGCTTCAGTAGTCATACTGAAGCATTCAGGATTCATTAAGAAGGGAGAAAAATGTCAGGGAAAAAAGTGGTTAGGTCAGATCTGAACATAACTGCTCTGCATATTTGGGAGCTACAGATGTAAATCAGAAGTAACTCCCTGGATTGCAGGTTATTCCTGGTCCAGAGTTACTCTGTAACTGTATTAAATTAGTCAGAGTTTAGCCCAGTTAATTTACGTGTTTATTTCTGGAAGTGACTTTGAGTGAAGTACAGGTGTCTGTACTTCTGCTGTGTCTGTTTACTATTGTGGATTTGAATTGCAAAGGTTCTTGCCTTCATTTGCACATCGTAGTGGTGGAGGGCTTTTCATCCCATTCTCTTCAAGCTCCCCAGGAGTTTGTATAACTTGTTGTTTTTGGAAAACAAGGTATTACTGGAAGCTGCTATAATGGTTTCATTGAGATCCACCATCCAGATAGAGTTAAAATAGTACTATGCAAATTCGCTCCTAGGATGGAGAAACAAAATGCACCCTGCATTGACCTACTTGATTCTGAAGAGACAGTGCCTGAAGTCTCCACCCTACCCACTGAACAGAGTGAAACCACAAAGGGAAACCACTCTGAGTAACCTCTGTTCTGGCTTTTCAACTCTGCTTTGTAAATCTAGCAACAGAGGTGCTTACCTGGTGTTGGTAGTGCTGCAACAGTGGCTGGAGGGTTTGGTGGGAAGGTTGTTCATCCTGCATGTGCTCTCTGTGCTCAGTCCTGTGACTAGCTGTGTTGGGCATATTTGTGCCCATCTTCCTTGGCTGGAAGCAGTTCCCGGTAGCACAGTTTGCTTCCAGTTAGTCGTTTGTACAATGTGGCTTCAGCAATATTTTGTCAGCCCTTTGCCTTGGCGGTGGTGCTGGCTCCAAGTGAGATGGCCTTGGTTAGAATGGCTCGTTGCTCACCTGTAAGCCTAGCTCTGGTAGGCAGTGGTACCTCAAGCTGGTCACTGGGCCTTGGGGCCATGGAGCTGCTTTTGAGTTGGCAGTGTAGGCTCTTCCAGTAGACACAGAAGGAGGTGCATTTTCTGTGGTGACTGAGAAGCCAAACAGAAGCTGCTACATTATATCAGCTAATTTTGGCTATGAAGCTTTAGAAATGCAGAATGTTTCAAGCCAGACAGTATGTTTCAGCCTGCATTTTTCGTGTTTTTAGATGCAGGCTGCTTCTAAGCACAGCTGTTGAGTTTGACTTTTTTTGCAGCAAGTCGTTAGTCAATCTTATGCACTTCCCTTGCTAATAAGCTTTTATTGCAGGGTCTAGACCCTGCATGTTGAGAACAGTTGCTATGGTTTCTAATTGAGCTGGGAAGTGTGTTACATGCCCGATGACCTGTATGCACTCTGCAGCTACAGTCTGTGCCCTCAACTGGTTCATTTACAAATTGCTTACTTGTGATGCTAATGAAAGATTATTCAATACTTTCAGCTCTTTAATGTCAGAAGCTTACCATTGTATTGTGATAGCATTTGAATAACAGCCCAAATAAATAGTCAAAGTACTAAGAAGGTAAAAACTTTACTTGGCCAGTTTGGGTTCTACCCTACATATACAACTGAAGTGTACTGCTTTCTAGTATGTTTTTGAGGACCGATTGAGAAAACTGATACTTACTCTTGGAAATATCTTTGTATCAACCCTGTATCATAGGTTAGCTGATGAACTAAGTAGTATATTTGTAGTATAGAATGCTCTACAGGTTTAGTGTGACTAGTATTTAAATGTTCAGACTAATGATGAGTTGTTGTGTAACTTATACCATGATACGTGTTTCCTGTGGGCAATTTCACAAGAAAGATAAAGTGACCTGAATATTCTGATGAAGTGCTGCTGCTCTTCCTTGGTGCTTTGGTTGCAGAGATGCACAGAATTACTCAAGTTCTGACAAGGTTTTTATGGTTTGTGAGTGGAGTGATAGCACAGAGAGGAGGATGCAAAACAAATATTAGAAATGGGGATACTTTGGTGACAAAAGCAAAGTCTGATATGAATTACTGGACTCAGCTACTTCTGTTACCAACAAATGATTGGTAAACCTGATAACCTGGATAGTTGTATAACTATGTAGACTCTTAAACTACTTTTCAAGTACTCTGAGATCCTATATTTTAATAGCATTTCCAGTTGGTTATAAAGTAATAATATCTCCATCATTGTAAGTAAATGCTTCTGTATTCAGCTGTTACATAGATACAGTCAACTTGACCAGTTTTTAAGTTACTGACTATTCCTAATTATATTTCAAAGCTGACTTGCAGGGATACGCTTAGGACAGCATTTCATAGCTGGAAGTTTAGGAAAATGGAAGTGAGAAAAGACGATGTTACTGCTGGGCTTTAGCTCAAAGATGAAGAAAACACAGACACACCTATTTGTACAGATAAACATGATATCTACTTCCAGCATGTGGGAAATTGTGCTTTCCTGAAATTACATACAAGAAAGGAACATACCAAAGCACTACCTGACCTGCAGCATGTATTTGTTTGATACAGTTTTTAGAGCTGAAACACATTGTAATGAATTTTTTAAAAGCAGCTGTATTCAAGAGCAATGAAATTGAAATTGGATAATACTAGTTTTTAAGGTTGAGAGCATTTAAGTTTAGACATTTTATTTTGATTTTACAATCTAAAGAATAATTGCTTTCACTGCAAGAACTGATGTGTTCCTCCTCTTCAGTTTTTTTAAAATACACACAGGAAAGTTATACACAGGGTCACAACTACAGACTAATTCTTTTGATAACAGCTCCGTCAGAGCCTTTGAACAATCCTCAGTGATGAAGGCTTGTTACCAAGATATGCAGCTGGCTTTCTCTGCCCCTTCAGATAGGTGTGGTATCTCCTGAGTACATCCTACCAGGGTGAGGCCATAGTAAAGAAAAGCTGCCAAGAAATGTATCTGGGTGTCTTGTTTAGCAAATTTTTACAGCCATGGGGGTTAGCCATTAAAAATGTAATTCATTTTACTTCACTTTCAGTTTGATATTGCACCACCTAGGCTTTAAATCCACTCTCAGCATTTACAAAGGGGCAGGCTTAGATGCACATACTGTCATTTCTAGGTGTGCTTGATTTTAAAAAAATGAAAAATTGCAATATAAGTATTAAACCAAACTTGCATTTTAAGCTTAGTCTCTCTCCTTTAGTCTGCCTATGAATCTTTTTCTTTTGTGGGGTACAACATCTAAAGTTATTAAAATACCTCATAAATTACAATTGCGGCCTAATCATTCCAAAGCCTGTATTTTGTTGTCATAGCTCATATAGAAAGACTTGAATTGCTCAAGATTACCAGAATAAGAGCTAATTTTAAAGTCTTTATCTTTGTTTTTCTGGTAGACCTGTGCTTAAACTAGCTGAGAGGGAAGTTACATGGTTACCCCCTTTCTTATTATGTCCAAAGCACCATTTTACAAATTTAACTTTTTGTCAATGGATCATGGACATTTTTTTGTTAAATTTCAAAGACATAATCGTTCCCTTTCATCCCTTCATTGAAATTCCCTAGACTGATTAAAAATTATTATATGTAGTGCTTTGCACATACACTTTAATCCCATGAGAGTGAAACTGTAAAATGCATCAAGAAAATATGAAGAGAAACCACAGAATACATTCTTTCAATAGCTAATAGAGTGGAATGTGAATAATTCTAAATAGGGTAGGGATGTACTTAGATCAAGCCTTCTGTACAGTGGAGTTTGTCTTTTTACAGAAAGAGCAAGGCTGTACTCAATTCATACTTGTCATATGAGCTTCAAATTGATAAGAAATTTGAAAGGTTTCCATTACCAGGTAAGAAATTCCTGGAAGTGAGGGTGCTTTTTCTGTTGGAAGTAAAATCAGGAAAACCTTAAAACTATTTTCCAGAGTACTAACAAGAAATCTTAAATTTGTGTCAAGCTTGCTTCATGAATTACAGAAGAGCTTACTGTTGGGATCAGTAAACTATTCTGTTAGGTAGTGAAGCTGAAACTAATTAATATGATTAACGGAAACAGAGTATGGTAAAATACTCTGTAGACTTAGAACAGAAGTGTTTTTAAAGATGATTTTATAATTAATAAGGAAAGCTGTCTGTATAGTAAAATCGACTGTTATATCTGTAATATACTATCTATTGTCTTCTAAATGCATGTAATTGCCCTCTATGTAGAAGCTGTTCCAAAATAATTGCTCTGTTTAGCAATAAATCTCCACTTGCTATGCGTTACTGTGCCCCTGCGGACCCAGCGTTGGTCATTTTACTCCATGTGCAATTATGAAATGGCTCAGAACTGTCCCATTGCCATAGCAAACCTCCTGCCTTCATCTCACCTTAGTGAAGTGACAAAACATGTTCTGGTATAGTAAGGACATGTGATCTACTTGCTGTCATGCTTTCACAGGAGAAGACTTTGAGTTACAGCTGCAGGAAGCAGGTTTAGAAAACTGTTTATTACCGAAATGTAAAACTTAACAAAAAAGTTTAGATGCTTTATAGTCCCTGACAATTATGTGATACTTCAGTAGAGAATACTCTGTTCTATTATTTTCTTCATCTTATGACAATTAAATGCATTTACAAGTATGACCCCAGGTTTCCAGTGTAACTATATGACCACTGGGGCATCCTCATATTGTACAAAAATTCAGTGAGTCACAACCAGCTATATAAAACTTAATGTCAGACAAATCTAGCAGTGTTCTGAGCAGTAGAAAGGCCTTATGAAAGAGGCATTAAGATAGCATTAGTCTATCTTAACTGTAAAGAAACACTATCTTTAGCTTGTATCTACTGATTTCCATTTTTAACTCTATAATGGAACAATAAAGCATACGTGGAGTTGATTTTGATATCTTGGAGTCATACTGCAGTAAACATAGAGTGATCAGAGGAGTTCTTTAGAACTAAGCAACCTTTACTATTACCTGTAGGGTTTAGCACTCCAAGAAGCAGCAGTATATACATTTCTGGAGTCTGAGAAAGCTTGTTCACCTGCTGTCACTGAAACAGTTCAGTTGTGTGGGGTTTGGCAGCACAGGGGCAGCTGCGTAGGTTGAGTAGGCTTATGTCATTGAACTGTTAATGAAAAGTGGCAAGTTCATATGACAAATATTAATTGTACAGGATGAAGGCTCTTAAATTCTTTCATTATATTTAATTTTTATTCATGATCTTTTTCAGGAATGTTGCTTAACATTTATTGCTTTTCATACCTGTGTGAATTTGTAGCCTTTTTTTCTTTTTTGTGTCCTTTGGATATTCTTTTTGCCAAGCATAATGGTACATTCTGCATTACTGAATAATTTAGTTACAGTAAATGAATAAAGAAGTGCTGGAAAAGCTAACTTCAACACTGTGTCAAGTCTTGGATTTTGTATTTCTCTATTTATCAAACCATTCAGACACTGACCAAAATGATAAGAACAGTAAAACAGAGCAGTACTTTACTGTTATCAAGGAAAGTGGAACACAACAGCACAGTCTTGGAGAAATAAATAAAGGCAAACAGAAGTCATGCAAAACACAAGCAGGATGCCAGCTCAGCTCTACAAGGCTGGCAAAGTAGAAGTTGTGCAAAACAATGATATTGCACTTACCCAGAAGCAGAGGTCAAGGAACAGCCACATAGAAAGGACACTGGACATTGAATACAGATCCCAAAGAATCAGATGAAGACTCCTGAAAAGGGGTGTGATTATGTCGAAAAAAGTCAAGTAAGTGGGGATAGCTAATGAATATATAACCAGTGTGTATCATAAAAACTCTGTTCACATGACTCTCAGGGCCCTTGATTAGAGGAAAGATCCCCAGAGTGACCAGCATGCTGTAATAAAGACCTACTTTCTAATATTCTAATAAAAATGTGTTAAAAATTTTCTATCTGGCTGATTTCAGTACCAAAATTTTGTCTTAAAGGTGTTCTTGTTTGTTTTGAAATCACAGTGTAGAACTTTATTCTTCTGCTTAAAAGGCCTCTCTCATTTTCTATCATAAATGAATCCATGGGCATTGGGTTGTTTTGTTTTGTTTTTAATCCAGCAGCATTTTGCTGCTGACTTTTATATCTAGTATGCATCTCAAGAGTTTTGTAACTCAGGCTAAAAATACAGTGAGGTGATGAATACAAAACAAGGAAAAGAGCTAAGGAGTACAGGTAACAAACAGGACGAGCTGGAAGCCATACAGTAGCAGGAAAGCCATGACATAGTCACTACCAGAGGAGCATGGTGGGATGAGCAGAGTGCTGCACTGGATGGCTACAAGCTCTTCAGAAGGGACAGGAAAGGAAGGAGAGGTGTGGGGAGACTCTGTACAGTAGGAAGTGTTTTGAGTGTACAGAGCTCAAGGCTAGCAATGAGAAGGTTGAGTGCCTATGGGTGACAATCAGGGGAAGGCTGAAAAGGCAGATATCCTGGTGGGAGTCTGTTATAGACCACCCAACCAGGATGAGGAGGTGGATGAACTATTCTATGATGTGATGCTGATGTTTCATGATTGTCAGCCCTTTTTCTTATGGGTGATTTTAACCTGCCAGATGTCTGCTGGAATTCAACACCAGAGAGGAAGCTGGGAAGTGAGCCTACCAGGGGAGCTACCCTGCTGGATCTGCTGCTTACAAACAGAGAAGGGCTGGTGGGAGATGCTGTGGTTGGAGCCACCTTGAGCACAGAAACCATGACACAACAGTTTTCAGTACTCGGTGGGGTCAGTCTCTACCCTAGACTTCTGAAATGCTGACTTTGTCCGTTCATGTCTAAACATGATCTTTATGCAAATGCATACAGGTAGTGAAAATAGTTATTTCCTTTAAGGTGAGGAAAAGGAATTTTCTGGCATTGTCTCTCATGGACATTTCTATTAGTGGTTAATGATAATGGAGAGGTTTATCTGCATTTATGCTCTTTTTTCAGCAGGGGAACAGTCAAGTTAGGCAGCTTAGAGGTGAAACTAGCTGCTAATAATTACTCAGTAATTTGGTTTGGTTTGTTTCTGTTTTCAGTGAAGGCAGCAATCTAACCCCTGCTCATCATTACCCTGACTTCAGATTTAAGACATATGCACCTCTTGCCTTCCGCTATTTCAGAGAACTTTTTGGTATCAAGCCTGATGACTATTTGGTAAGAGCCTGCAGTTTTCCTTTGAGTTACAAACTATTATAAAGCAAACTATTTTTAAAACGCTAGTTTTATTGTGGCAGAATGGGATTCTTAAAGGGTGCCCAAATCAGTAAGAAATTTTGTGTGTGGAGAGGTATATAACTAGTGAATATTTTTGGTGGTGACAAAAATCTTAATTCTTTATTTTTGAGATGATTCATATTAAGAAACCTGCTTTGTTAATTGACTAGAGCAATATCCATGTCATTCAGATAATTTTTCTAGAGAAGTTATGATCAGTAGTTTGTGACTTCTATCAATTCAGTTCTAATTAATTACTTTTGTGTGATTTGTGTTATGCACATCATTACAAAGTGAAATCTGCAAATGTTCCTGTCTACCTTTGAGGCTCATGGATGACAGACTAAAAATGAAGCATTTTAGAATGCATCCTTTGTTCTCTCTATTTTATAAATTGAAGACTTATTCTTTCATAGTGTTCAGTTTACACCAGAAAAAAAGTTAGAAATTTGCTGACATTGTAAAAGCAGGCTTTACTTGGTGGAACCACTTTATATACTGCTAGTATATAAAGCCAAGTGTTGGCTATTTTATTTCTCCTGTAGCTCCCCTTCTGGAAGGGTAGGGTGAATGCTGAGATGGATTTTCTTCTAGATGTTTGCCCAATGTTTGGTTTGTTTCATGGTGGGTCACCCAAGAAATCAGAGTCCTGGTAAAAATTAGCAACTTTAAATGTAATTTTTTGAATGAGCTTTAAAATGCTGAGTGAGCTTTTGTTCTATTATTGATAATGGCTTCTTTAAGACCAAAAGTATTTTAAAGGGCTTGGGTGAATAAAAAAGAAAAATTGATTAAATGTTTCTGAAATATTAATATACTACTAAATAAATTGTTTCTGCTGTGTTCAAGTGTGCTATAATGGGGTTTTCTTCCTAGATGAACAATAAGCCTGGTTTTGCTTTTATTTAGGTTGAATATGGGTGTCTTTATGTGGGTGTCTTTTTTTAATTCTTTAGTGCTATGTATGGGTTTTGTGTTAGTAGTCCTCATTACCATAGTTACATATAAAAAAAGGATAATTATTTTGAATTATAAATGGTAGTAGCAAGGAAATAAAGTTGTTTGGGAATTTTGTAAATCATAGAGTCATAGAATGATTTTGATTGGAAGGGGCTCAAACATGATTTATTTCCAACTTCACTGCCATGGGCAGGGACATCTTCCCCTACACTAGGTTGCTCAAATCCAGCCTGGTACTGAACACTTCTGGAGATGGGGCATTCACAACTTCTCTAGACCACACATTCCGGCACCTCACCATCCTTAGAGTGAAGAATTTCTTTCTTCCACTGACCACAACTCTTAGAGTATGACCAATTCCTTATCCTCTGAGTTATCCATCTATCAAAACTATGCCTCTCCAGATCAGAGACAAAGACATCATGGGTGACAGTTGTGTCATTATGTAATGTGCTGTTTATCTTATCTCTTTTTATGGTCTTGGTAAAAGCTGAAGTATGTGGGCTGTGTTGCCAGCTGCTAAAAGGACTGTGCTTCCTAGAGCAAAGTTATTATCACCTGCAACTTCTTTTCCATCTAAGGAAGCTTTTGCAGTAGCAGAAATTAAAGTTTATACAAAGACTGCATGCTGTGAATAAGATTTGTGACAGTCATTTTAACTACAAAAAGACTATTCCCTGAGGGAAGTTACTAGTAAAGACAAGTTGTTGCAGATTCTTTTTTCTCTTGGCACAGGAAAACACACAAGTATGTATGTAGTAAATGATTGTCCAGCTGTGGCTGAAGGGCTGTGGCTGTGAAGTAAAATAAGAAGAGTAGAAATTACAGCAAGCATATGTGAGTTTACACTGTTAATTTGAAGTGACAAAGCTCAAGATTTAAAGTTTTCACCTTTTCCAAGGAGGATGAGCAGTAACACACTGTAGGAGTCAGACAGGATAACAAGTGTAAATACATTTGAACAGCTGGTAGAATTAAATTGTCACTGTAAATCTCATGGAGTACTGTCATTTTGCAGGGAAACTTCTTGATCATAAATACTCACTTGTCAGGCTCTTGGGGATTTTCTTGCCTTTTGGTTTTGATTTGCCTTTCAGAGGTGTCCAGCTAGCTAAAACTAGCTGGGCCCTTTGTATAGCAGCATTTGGTGGGTGGACTTTTTTACAGAAATGCATACCACTGGAAAATGACCAATGCAGGGTGTTGGACAATGTCTTGTGCTTATGTTATACTATTCTATTGAGCTTTAATGTTTAGGATAATCGTATTCAAATGTTTATCACACAGTGACAGTTACTCATTAAGATTTAAATATTTTGTCAAGAAAAATGCAATTGCTGCAGTTCAACTGCTGAATTGGTCTGAAGGTTTGTAGTGTTACAGATTGGTATGACCATTCTGTCTGTAGAAAATTGCAACTATAGGATTAACAAGAAAAGTATTTTGTATTAATTGGAATTGAGTATAAGCAGGGAGAAGAAATATCTATATATCATGCAAAATTATCTTCAAAATTACAAGCCTTAGCTGGAGCTAGGATAAGAAGATGTATTAAGGCAATGGCATGACCCCATAGAAAACATGCTTCTTTAGTTCAAGTGCTCACAAAAGAACATATTTATTAGATTTTCTAGTATCACTACTTTCAATTTTAATATAGATAGGTTTTTCTATGGTTTTGAGCTGAATGTCAATTCTCCATATAATTTGAATGAAGTTTGGAATAGTGGACACTTAGTAAATGTACATTAGTCTCTGTATCACAGTATGGTTCTATTAATAAGGCATAGTCTTTGGTGTCTTTTTCCTCCTTAATGCAATTGTAATTCTTAATGTGTCCTGTGGAAAAGGAAGCCTGGCTAAATATGCAATATAATGATCCTTCAAATTCCAGTTTTTCTTGCTTACTGGTATTGAGTTTTTTTCTGATTCAGGTGGTTTTCAATCACAAAACTAGTAAAAGATTTTAAAAATTAGTAACTATACTAAAATTAGTAGCTATAGCTATACCAATTTTATCAGTCTAATAGTTTCAATCCCAGTTGCACAGAATAGGATTTGCCTATTTGTCTATAATGAGAAACCTCACTCCTAGTCTATTTTTCTACCATCCTGTACCTGTTTCTTTCAAAAAAAATGGATGTGAAAACAAACAGTTCCAGTGAAAATGTCTTCTCAAAGCTTTTGACTCAGAATTTGCTATGCTGACAGCATGGAGATCAACTCCTTCCACATCAACCACTGGCTGTTGGAACCTGTTGCTTTGGAACATGAAGAGGGATATAAGCTCAGCTGCCAGCTCCCTTCTATGGCTGTGCAGCATGGCCCAGGCAGAGTGGCCAAACCTCAGCCAGCGGCAGTAGTGTTGCTACGTGATTCTCTTGTGACTACTTGAACCTGCAGTTCTTCATATTAAACTTGTGTTTGGGTAATGCACGCATTGGCAGTGAAAAGCAATTTTTGTCTCTTCCAGTACTCAATCTGCAGTGAACCTTTAATTGAATTATCCAACCCAGGTGCCAGTGGGTCTTTATTTTTTGTAACTAGTGGTGACGAATTCATCATCAAAACAGTTCAACACAAAGAGGCTGAGTTTCTTCAGAAGCTCTTGCCAGGTTATTACATGGTAAGTAATTGAAGACTTTATTTTACTTCTATTTCTCCTGCTTCATGTTACTTCTGAAGATTCAGTTTCACTTGGCTTGAAATATTCCACTGGGTTAATCTGTATTTTTTGTAATATTTTTTTACATTTTTACCTGCCTTTCTACTTCACGCCCTACATACCCAACAGAAAGAATAGGTATAAACCTAGAATATATTTAAGATAAGAATTGGTGCTCTTTTAGCATTCAAGATGAAGCTGAATGTCATAATCTAATTTGATACCAAACTTTGCTTTTAATAAGCTAGTAACAAAATAAGGTTTCTAAATTTCTAATTCAGTTTTCTTTCTCCATTTTGTGTTTGTCTACCCTCTGCATTTCACTCAGAGTGGACAAAGAAACTAGACCGGTCAGTTTCCCTTTTGTTTCCAACTACTTCTGATTTCCATTTCTCATGTATTAAAGCAATGATGTAAAAGATATTTTTATCCATGTAATTTGTTCAAAACTTAATTTTTAAATGGAGCTTTTTGAGGGCTAATTCTAAGTCCATTGTATTGGGTTTTGTGTGTCATCTAAAAGGAAAGCCATTGATTAAAAAGTGAGTAGAATTTAATTTTTTTTTTTTTTTTGTAACAAAAGCCACCCATACATATGAACAGGCATTCTTCTGGGTGGTATGTATTTGAATTATTAGACCTGTGACTGACTTTCTTTTTTTGCTTTGTTTCCTGACGTAAATACTTGAAAAATTACCCTCTCACTTATACTAAAAATGCGGAATGTTGTCATTATTGCACTAAAGTAACATGGATTCACTATGTGTGGAAGAAAAAAAAGATGTGTACTGACACATGAAAAAGGACAATGGTGGCAGGTTTTGTTGTTCCTAATCACGATAATCCACTCAGCACAAGTCTGTGTTATTACAAGTACATTTAAGGCCGGTTTGTATTATTTCTGGGAACTTTATTCTCACTGCTGTGCAATTGCTTCCAAAATGTAAAACTTCAATTGCTGTGATTATTTCTGTGACAATACTTTCTTCTGATAGTTGTATATTGTAACTTAGTAATCATCTAAGACCTGAAGTAGTTTTTCCCCTTCTTTCTTTTTCATGCCAAAGACTGAGAACAGTTGTATTCAGAAGAAGGATTTTCTCTCTCACCTGTGTTATCCTCTCTTACCTAATTTATTTTACCTGTTGTGGAATTTGGATTATTTCACACTTTTCTGTTCTGATGGTCAGTTGTGGTTCTATTATGCCTTCACATGCCTTTGGAAATAATTTAGTCATTTAGCACTAACCCTGACTGTGTTCAAAGCCTCGTGGAGAGAGGAGTTCTGTTTTTCAGAATCCAAGTCAAGATAATGAGAATTACATTTAACCCAGACTTCTTCCAGCAGGTAAAACACAAAGGTTGTTCAGGTCAGGAAAAAAAATTAAGTCTTTGGGATGCTTTTAGGTTTGACCTAGTCTGCTCTTTTCTGTGAGAAAGAAAAACCTGGCATAAATGTAGTTACTGCTCTGCTTTTGCGCTTTGTAAGTCCCTGGCAAAAAGGTAGTGCCTATGCTAGATTGCTGGAATAGAAACCCACAAAGATAATCAACTGGTTGAAGAAACTGTGCTGAATAAGAAAACATTCATAATTTTCTTCATGTTTGTTAATGTCTTTTGTGTTAAAGAAAACCCTTTCTTAAGCATGGAAGTTCATTGAAAATAGACATATTTAAAAATGTCTCTTTTGTTTTAGAATCTGAACCAGAATCCAAGGACTCTTCTTCCCAAATTCTATGGGCTGTACTGCGTTCAGTCAGGAGGCATTAATATTAGAATTGTTGTGATGAACAATGTTTTGCCACGAGCCTTGAAAATGCATTTCACATACGACTTGAAAGGCTCCACGTACAAACGCAGAGCATCAAGAAAAGAGAGGGAGAAGTCCAACCCTACATTCAAAGACCTGGATTTCCTGCAAGATATGCATGAAGGCTTGTATTTTGACTCTGAAACACACAGTGCACTCATGAAAACACTACAGCGGGATTGTCGAGTGAGTATAAATTTAAACTTCTGAATTCACCTCTGCTCTAAATTTACTCAGTACAGATTACTTAACCTCCATTTGTTTTTTGTGCTGTTTAAGGAGGGATAACTATGGATGTCAGAGCACTGATGAAGCCTGTATTTTAGTTAAGCTGTTGTGATCTGAGATCATAGTTATAGATAGAATGTCATATACTTTTTGAATACCAACAGACTGGGGACCATGAGCACTTCCCTCACTGTGGAACTGGTTCCAATGCTAAACCACCATCTCACTGAAGAACTTTTTCTTCTATCCACTCTGAACTTTCCCAATGCAGCTTGAAGCTGTTCTCTTGCATCCTATCACCAGGCATCAGAGATCAGCATCACCCTTTCTGCCACCCTCAAACTTTATATCCTCCTCTGGTCCCCACAAATCATGCCCTGTAGTCCTTTCACTGTCTATGTTGCCTTTCTTTGGATGCATTCTTATATTTAATATCCACCTTACACTGTGGAGCCCAAAACATGCTTGCAGTTCTTGAGGTGAGGCTGCTCCAATGCTGAGTGTAGTGGGACAATCCCCCTTCTCAAACCAGGTGGCTGTACTGTGCTCAGTGTACCCCAGGATACAGGTGGACATTCTAGCCACCAGGGCACATTGCTGACTCATTAAGTTTATAATCTAGCACAACCCTAAGTTCCAGGGCTATCCCTCTATTTCTATATACATCTATGATTACACTGATCCATCTGTGGCCATACAGGTTAATACAGGAATGAAGTCCAGTAGATTTGATGATGATGATGATTTCCATTAATTTGGAGATTTTAATTACTTTTTTCTTGAGACATAATTAGTCCTGTGGAACTTTATTATGCATGATAAACTGTATGTAGAATTGCTGTGAATATGTCTCTTGGTTACCTAGGAATGGGAAGGCAGGCCTAGTGGTAGCAGTCTTACTTCTTGAGCAAGGTAATTTCTTCCTCAGCTGAAAAGTCCACATAAAAGCTGTCCACAAAATATTTTCAAGGCAGAAGAGGGATACCTTTCATTGCTCTTTGAGAGGACCCTGGTGAATGGAATCAGTTCCTATTATGGGCAGAGAGAATTGCTGTAAAATAATTTTTTTCCCCTGTAGCATGGGTAAGAAAATGTAAAGCAGAAAAAGGGTGACTCCAGATCTCTCAGAACTTGCCAGGATTCCTGGGGTTTTGGAAAGAAAAAAATTGCTTTGTCTGAGGGAAATCGTAAGAATTTCATAATAATAAAGCAAAATACATAGTCTGAACTCACCACATAGAAGAGACACCCTTAATATCAGAGTTTGTTGTTCACTGCCACCTGTGGTACAAGATGGAAAGCATTGTTTTTGCACATGAATGGAATTTTTTGTTTATCGCAGAAGTCTGCAATGCCTTGTGATTGGTTTGTAAAGCTGTGTGACCTAATGTTCAGCTGTGTATTCAGCATGAGACATTTATCTAACACGGCACATTGTTCTCTCAGTAGCCTCTTGCAGTGAGTATTTCCTGAGCTCCTACCATGTGTGATGACAGAGAATGCATCAGTATGTTACATCTGGGGATGTGGATTCCTTTCTGTGCACCCCCTACTTGTCCAAGGTTACTTATCCAGTCAGAGCTTGGGGAAATCTATGGTATTGGAAATAATAGAGGGTATCTAAAAGATGGAACTGGACTGAAAAGTTAAAACAAGAATCAATCATTTATTTGTTACATATAAAGGGACTGTTAATGATTCTTTGGAAGTCCGGGAAAATTCCTGCTACGTGTTATTTGAGTGCTAATATAATCCTTTTCAATGTATATCTTAAATTAACAACTCTAAAGTTAGTCTAGAGTTCTTAAAGGCCTGGCTAAATTTTAAAAGTATTAAAAGTAGAGAAGAAAGTTATCCTATAATAATCAGTGTATTTACATAAATACACATATGGACAATAAAGTGTATGTCCGTGTGTAACTGTAGATATATAAACACACTGAAAGTTATATGTATATAAAAAATTAGCTGCCTTTTTTTTCTATTCAAACAAGTCTTACTCTGTGTTGTAAAACAGAAGGAGCAGACAGTTATCTTTCATATCACTGAATTGATCCAAGCTAATAAGGTTGGATCTGACTACCTGCCTTTTATTTCTTCCTTTAAAAAGACCAGAAATATTCCATCCATTTTGTGAAAAGGACATCAGTGTTGCCTCTGCTTTTTTCTCCGCATGAGGTATTTGGATGGGTATAGTGATAACTGACCAGCTTTTTAGGACATGAAAACGTGTCATCTCTTTTTACTGCTACTTCAAAGTGAAGAAGTTAGTGTAGGCACTTGAAATTAAGAATTCATTTAAGAAAGGAAATTTTTGATCTTTCCAGTATTTCAGGACTAAGAAAATCTCTTCTGTGTTGCTTAAATTTGGATTGTGTTTCCATTGCTCATATTTGTAATCAGAATCAGGAAGTAATAGACTTTTCTCCTAGTTCTTAAATATAAATATCCCTGTCTGCTAGCCCCTCTCCTCCTTAAGATCAATTGCTAAATTCAGAGGCCTGGCAGAATTTCCTGGTAATGAAAGATAGTGGTGGTGGGGACCTGCTATGGTCTGTGACTGCTGCCACTGAATCTTCTGCCCTATTCACCAATGGACTCATGTTTTCCTTGGTCAGCTTTTCTTTGTGTCTTGATGTTCCTTGAAAGTCTCTACTCTATCTGGCCTTTGGCTTCCTTGATCACAGCTGCCGTCCCTAGATGCCCAGACAATGTTTCTCTATTCCTCCTTTCTAGCCTGTCTGTCCTTTCCTGTCCTGCATGCTGGCTCTTCACATTCAAGCTGTGCTGTGGCTTCCTTGCTTAGCTGAATTTGCCTCCTGATACATTTGCTCAGCCAGCACAAACGATGTTGACAACTGAAACAGAGCTCCTTCCCCAGGGAATGCAGTGCTGGAATGGTAGACCACTGCTGGAGTAGTTCTGTCCTTTCACACCTCCTGGCAGTGCTGGTGAGGAGATGCATGACCTGCCCAATTAGAGAATGGAGCTGAGTTGTTTGTGGTGATCCCTCATGGGCTGGTGCCTCCAGATTATCCATGCTGGAACAAGTACAGGTTGATAGCATTGTTCAGCTCCTGCATTCCCTGCTTGTTTTGTTCACACTTGAGGTGACAGGGTCTGAAAACTTGTCTCACAGTTAATTTTGCAGCATTTGCACCTTAACTGAACCAAGGAGTGTAATATTACAGTGTTCCTAAAGAGGGAATATTAATGAATTTATCATATATACAATGTACACCATTGAAAATTTGAACTAGCTTTCAAATTCCAGACTATTGCTGAGACTTTCTGTAGCTGGCAAGTATCCTTGCCTGTTTGGAGAAGCAGTAACAATTAATCAAATTGTGGTCATGTCATTTTTAAGAGCAAAAAAATAATTTGAAGGTGTTTTTACTATTTAGAAATTAATGGCTTTTGAGAGTCTGCATTTTATCTTTATGGCAAAAACCACTGGACTTTTCTGAGGAAATTACATTTTAAAAGTTACTAACTAGGATAGCTGTAAAGACAAGGAAATTTAAAGAGGATCATATATCCTAAATTTGAGACTTAGGTATTATTTTCATCACTGCTGTTTTAGCCAGTTGCTACAGAAGTTTTCTGGTGTGATTGCGCATCTGTTTTGTGCTCTAGCGAATGAGATGCAGACCTTGTATGACCAAATTTATCCACAGAATTTTTCAAATCCCTTAGTAGCATGTGTGGTGTGTTTTGCAGGTTTTTGTCTTTTTTCTGCCTCAAAGGACCTACACAAATCTTCAAGCCAAATAACTTCAGTGACCCATTGTACAGCATATCCTTACAAACAGTAGTGTTGGCATAACTTATTGAAATATTAAACTGCAGCATAGGACAGAAATAAAAGATGGCATGATGCGGCATGGAGATGGAGAACATACTAATCTTAGATGAAGGGCCTCTTAGTCAGAAATGGTAGTTTGAGGGAAACAACTATAGCACAATGCTGTAGATCTCTTGTATCTTTATATATTATCACTCCCATCATATCAGTTGACATTAGGAATTTCTCATTACTTCTACTTTTAAAATCAGAATCCAGATTGTTAGTTTTGGAGTGTTAATTAACAATATATTTTGAGAATTCTGTTGAAATGGGAAGTGATTCCACTTATGTTTAGATGGGAATGTGATGATTCATTTTCTTAGGATAGATTTTTTCTAAACCAGACCCATATTTTGGCATTGACATTTGTGAACTTGTTCCTAAGACATGATTATTTTGTGACTCAGTCCTTTAATTTGTGTTAATTTCATATAGCTCGTTATGTTGAATAATAATTATTGATATGCTGTAAAATCAGTCTTCTTTCTACTGTGTTAATTCCTATGTCATTTTTCCAGAATGCTTGTAGGAGAGGAAAATTTCCTTGCATGGTTATCCATTTAGTACTTTCATTAAATAAGCTTCTAATTTTTTTCTTTTGAGTTGTATTTTTCTTGACCCTTTTATGAAAATGATCTGATGACTTTTTTGCATGCTGTTTTGCATGGATAGCAAATGTAAATGCAGATTTCTCTGTCAGATAGTGTGTAGTTTGGGCTGGCTGCATATAAAATAAAAATGACATTTCATGGCAGAAATACTTGTTTTGCTCGGTTAGTCAGTGGCTGAGATAGTGGAGCGTAACCATGTCTAAGATGATTCACAGAATAGTTTAACATCTGATTAAGCTCTGAGAAAAGAAAATCTGATTCAGAGAGTTAATTTTTTATGTTCTGAAGCAACATATTTTGTGATGCTGTTTTACTGTGGGTTTTTATGTGGTATGAAACAAAATAGTGCTTAAGGCTACAAGGGGTGAGTGTCACTTGCCATCTGGAAGGTTTCAGAGCAGCTGAAGTCAGCCTTGACAGCAGTACTTGGTGACCAAGTAACAACACTGTGTTGGAAGATTCTGTGTAGCTAGTGAATGAATATATATAAGTACTACCAAGATGAACAATTTAATGTTAAGTTAATGAACTGAAGGTTTACTTGTTGTTATCAAATCCACCACTTGTTAGTACACAGCATGATTAAGATCATTCTTGCTGAAACCCCACAGTGCCATTTTGCTAGCAAGGAACATGTCAGAATGGTTACATGAGCAAAGATTGGGATCCCTTTACCTATATAAGTAGTGTATTTCTAGGAGTTTATGTCAATTTCTAGTGATCTCACATGGACAGAGCCATGTGTTTTGCAGGGCTTTCTCCTTTTGCTATGAATATAGCCATATAATATTGTAATTTATTTGAGTGGGGTTTTTTCCTTAGATTAGGTTATAGTTTTGGTGCCTCTGTAGCAAAAACTTGCTGCTGCATCTCAAAAGCAGTCCTAAAATCATCAAAAGTACTGTAAGCAAACCTCAGGACAGGAAAATAAATGTCTTGATGTTCTGCATTTTGTAACTTGTTCCTTCTTGAAATAGATTGTTTTGTACAACTGTGTGTGCAAAATGTTACTTACATATTTTAAAATTGTCACAATTTGGTATTTTAAATATTAATGAAAATTCATATGTGAGAACACCTCAGATACATTAATCTGTAAATCCAACTGATTTACTGTCTTAATACAGTCTGAGGAGTTTGACACAAAGTTTTGTTGAGTGCTGATCTGTGAGATTCTTCCTTGTAATTCTGGTTAGTTATTTCTTACCAGACCTTTCATTAGAAACAAGTGGGGAGAGAAATGTGTTTAGATATGGTCAAAAAGGTTAATTTGCCTAAGGAGTGGTTGGTTTGGTTATCACGTTTCTAAGGGGAAGTAATCAGAACTGTACCTCAAAGCTGTAGGCAGACAGGGCCAGATCATGTCATGATATCCTGAAGACACTTTGTGGACAGTGTAATGCCACCTCTGAGTAGGGCTATGAACAGAGTGTCTGGGGGACAAGGGTTCTTATGCTGTGTGCTGTTTATAAGAATTTGTACTGCACTTAATCCATTGGATGTGAAGGTATTTCAGTCTGTTAATGAACTGTAATAATGAAATTTGTTTTTATGATGTTTTTCCGTAATCCTATGCCAAAATCATAAATTGTCAGGGTATGATCTGTTGTACTGTACAAGTAGTATGGGTTTAAGTGGCAGTGATGAATTGATGGAGTCAGAAGGATTAATTTTATCACATAAGAGGTCCCTGTGGAAGAAGGAGTAGCTCATTACAGCACAGCCTCCCATGAGACTACATCCAATCATAGATGTAGGTTATGTAATTAGTGCAGTAAAATCATGTGTCTAACATGACCTAATTCAAAATGCAGTAAAGAATATGCTGAAGGTAGAAGTGTCAGCAGTAATTTATAACTGTAAAATAAATGTGGCAATGCTTTTCCCAAGCCTGACTAGCTCCTGGTTTTGCGTGAACAGTGCTGCTTACTAAGGTGTTATTTTTCAACCTATCCTGAACTTAGTTTTAGCATTTGATGGCAAATATTCATTGATTACATATTTTTTAATGAATACATGATGTTGTAATTTCTTTCTGAGAAGGTTGGAGTAAAGTGTAGCAATAAATAAGCAGTAAATAGAATTTTAGATGTTTTTGGAACCAAGTGCCTTTGCACCTGTTAGCCATGCTATTTTTGCAATTTATGATTGTAAACCACCAACATGTCCACACAATGCCCAATGAAATTTCAGAATCTTGTGGTTAGAATACGGCTTTTGTTATATATTAAATCCCTTGTGAGTTCTGTCATTAGAAGATGCTGCGGACTACCAAGGCCATACATTAGCAGCCTTTTTCTTGTTCCATTTGAACTAAGGCATCACTGAGTAGGATCTCTCTGCACAAGAGCAAGCCCATGGTGTCTTAAAGTCATTCTTTGAGTCTGAAAATCAGGTCTGATTTTGTGCCTTTCTACGTTATGCTTTGTTCCATCACTGCTCTGGTTATCTGAGCAATGAGTATTTTTCCAACAATTAGGTAAATGGTATAAAAACCTTATGATTAGACCTACAGATCCATACTAAATTACTGATTTACTGCCATATAGTTTTGAAACCTATTGCTCTTTTTTCCCCATTAAGAGAAAGGATGTTTCTGCTTAACCGAAAATACTTACACTTGGATAATCTTCATCAAAATTATATACCTGGAATCTGCTTTCATCTCTGTAAAATCACTTTTTTTCTTGTTCACATAAAAAGACATACTATTGCCTCTTGATTCTGTGACAAAAATTACACCATTATCTTCAGGCATTGGGCCAAAACACATCATGAATCACTGCTGAGCTGCATGAGGTAAAGGAGAGGTGAGCACACAGCATATCCCTCCTGGCTGTTACTGGTGTTTCTCCCTCCACTTAGCAGTGTTGTGTAAGGCATTAAACACAGTTGCTGTTCTGACATTAAACTGTTGCTGTGAACAGTTTGGTTATATTACTAGATGTGATTGCAGCTTGCTTTAGTTCATGTTTGGGTATTGACTTGAGCTGTATTGCTTTTCAATGACAGCATGCCAGACTTCGTAATGCTGTAGCTGACTAAAAACAAATGAAACTATCTGTGTGTGAGAGAAGACATACTGCCAGAGACAGAAATGGTTGGTAGAGCTAGAAGAAAAGGATGGTTGATTCAGTCATGCTTCAGAAGTAAAACCTGTCTTTTGAGTTTAGATAGGCTCTATTTAGCCTAGTAGAGAGGTGCATGATTTTTGTACTCCAATCCCATCAGCTGCTAATAAGGGGATGGCAGCAAATACTGTTGTTGACATTTGAAAATTCTCAAAGAGTATTGTCTCTGTTGCAAATAGGAGGTGGAGGGGAGATAAGAAAGTACAGGCAAAAATGCTCAGGGAGGACTGTATGTGGATTGGAGATAATTTTAAAAATGTGTTGTTCATAAGTATATGATGGAACCATTAATTATTTGCTATAATGGAAAAGGTGCTGACTGGAATCATCTTCCTTGACTACAAAATAACATCAGGTTACATTTCAGCTGTGCATCTTTCTTTCTCACTTGTTACAAGAGCATTCAGCTAATTAGAGCACTTGTATGAGTAGTGAAAGGTTTTTGTTTAACTGTAATTTCACACACTTCCTGATAAGAGAAGCTTGTGCCTGGAGAGCCTGTTTTCACTCAGGTTTGCAAAATGCTGCTGTGTAATTCTTTTGTGGTTTCAGTATAATCATTCCTTCTTTGTAGGTTCTAGAAAGTTTTAAGATCATGGATTACAGTCTGCTTCTGGGGATCCACATATTGAACAGTAACACAAAGGAAAGAGAAGGAGAGTGTTCCCAGAGCACCTCAGATGCAAAACGCCATGGAGGGCAGAAAGTTCTCTATTCCACAGCCATGGAATCTATACAGGGACCTGGGAAGTCTGGAGACTCCTTCACCACAGAGAAAACAAACACGTAAGTGCTGTAACCTGCTCTTAAGATTGCTTTTAAAAGTATTAACAGGCAAAACTTCCATGAGTACACTGCATTCCAGGAATTGAAAGATTTAGCCTTCTTTTTTTTTTTCCCTTGCATCATTGAGATTTGCCACAGAGCATGAAATTGGAATGTTGGTCAGTAGATTGATAGTCTTTAAATACATGATAGTTCAGAGTGACTTATGTATGCACACATGCATTCTTTTATAAAAGAAATGCTATCAGACAACTATTACAAGAGTCCCAGCTACAATCTAATTTTAACTGAAAGCAGCCTGGTGAGACCAAAGCAAAAACTATAAATTAATATTGAAATGGATATTCCTACGGGGGTTCTTTTCATCTTGAGGTAGTATACTTGATGTACATAGAATGGTATCATCAACCACTAAAGTGCAGTCATATATTCCATTTTCTGAGATTAAGAACCAATATTTTTCTCCTATTTTTCTGTCTAGCAAAAACTTTAATAGAAATTTGAATATATAAACAATCATTATTCTGTTGTTTCTTTTATAATATATTAAGTGCTATGAGAGTATTATTGCCACCATTCAGCATTGCATATAATCAGTCCTTTATTTAAATTAGAATTTAATCTAAAATTAAGGATTTACTTTTCTTCCTGGTTCTCAAGGGAGCTATGTAGCTAAATACAACTAATATACAGAAATCTGTCCTTAAACCGACAGCAAACAAGTGAAAGAATTATGATATTCAGCATTCACAGAGCGCTTCCAGACACTGAGAACTCTAGACTATAATTAGACAGAGCTTTATTTCATTTGGTTTTTACAACTCATTCACATTCACACAGAAGATGGCCAGTGCTGTTGTATGATGGCAGAGGTGTTGCACTGGCTGGGCTCCCACACCACTTGAGCTAATATAGTCCTACCCAGATCCTGTCAAGTGTAGTTCTTCCCTGGCTCCTTGCACTATCTCTCTTATATTGGCATAATGGCTAGTGGAGCAAAAAACAATGCTGTGGTTCTAAAATGGACCATTTTTCTAGGTGTTGGAGTAGGAAGAGAGGGTTTTAGAATGACTGTTCATGGCTGAGTATGGACCTGGGACCAACTGGAGGTCTACACAGTCAGAATTCTCAGCTTGATACTTTTGCTTTATCTGTCACTTATCTGTCTGTAAAGAAATTTTGGAAAAGCACAGCAATACATAATTTTAGTGAAAAATATATGAAACAACCTTTTAGACTTTTATTAAGTTGCAGACTCTTTGTGATTTGTTACCTATGATCAATAAAGTGAGAAAATTCTCCCTTATCTAAAGTTACTTATTTTCCTTAGCAATAAACTGATGGATATTTTCTTCCACTTTTCAGATCATCTGAACATTTCCAATTCTGTCTAAAACATGTCTTGAAGTATTTATTCTTTTAATTATGGATATTTATCACTGAATCCCAGATACTTTAAATTGTCTATTCAAAATCCATTGCATGCTAGGTGACTCACATTTGACTGACTTTGCACTGTGGCATCTGCCTTGAATATTGTCTACTCCTTTGGGTTTGTACAAGAGGGTACAGTTCAGCTGGTAACTGGTGATCAGAGATGTCTTAAAAAATATTCTATGTTGTTTCTCTTAGAATGGGAGGTATTCCAGCAAAAAGCCATAAAGGTGAAAAGCTGCTTTTATTTATGGGTATTATTGATATTCTCCAATCTTACAGGTAAGTTGAACTTCAACTTTCAATGAATTTTCACTGAGCAAAATATTCTGAAATTACTTTTAAAAGTGGAAGCTTTATAAAGCAGTTCTGATTTAGTTTTTTACATACCTAGGTTAATGAAGAAGCTGGAACATTCTTGGAAAGCTCTTGTTTATGATGGGGTATGTAGATTTTATCAATTTTTTAAACTGCTGATATTTTAGCTGGTGAACCTTTGACTCATGTTGACCAGGAAGAAATTTGTTCTGGTACATTTGTTGTCTAACCTCACCACATGGTTTGAGCTGCTGCTGAAATTTTCCCAATACATGCTCTGGTTTTATTTATTGAGCTTTCAAATAACAACTAATAATGTTAGTTTGTCCTTATAACTTACACAAAGTCTAGCCACCCAGCAGAACATTGATGAATCTATAACTGAAAAATATACATAATTTGAAAAGAAAATTCAAATGCTTGGAAGATTTTGCAGAATATAGTTGTATAATTCATAACTCTTAATGGTAATGATTCACTAATTTTGACCATGCCCGAAATGCATAATATAGTTCACCTGAGGCGTCCAGCTTCTTCTTGACACCTTACTTGTGGAAAATGTGACTGATATATTTTTTAATCTTGTAGGATACTGTTTCAGTTCACAGACCAAGTTTTTATGCAGACAGATTTTTAAAGTTTATGAATGCAAGAGTTTTCAAAAAAGTTCAAGGTAAGACAGTAGTGACATACTTTTTTAGATATTTTTTATAATCATAATCTTATAATGCTCCTGTCTTTGCAATGAAACAAGCCTTTCTTCAACATCATGTAGCACTTTTGTAGCTCCAGTCAAGAAAATAAATTTCTGACAATTGGGATTTTACTCCATTAGTAAAATTACAGAGAATTATGTACTATATATTTTTGTCACATCAGGGCTGTCTAAAGTTGGCTTCAGGTGACCACCTAGACACTCTATCACTCCCTCTCTTCAACTAGATGAGAGGAAAGGTATAACAAAAGGTGGGTGGGTTCAAATAAGGACAGGGAGAGATCACTCACCAATTACTATCCCCAGCAAAACTAACTCGAAACAGGAAAATTAATTTAGTGTCTTACTAATTAAAAAAAAACCAAAAAAACCCCAAAACAAAAAACACCCCAAAAACCACCAAAAAACCCCCAACTTTAGAGAAACCTTCATACAGGCTTTTTCCATCAGAAGTTCAGATCAAGTTTTATTTTCACTACTTTTTCTACCACTGGTAGAAAGTCATAGTGGCCTTTGTTGCTCTGCATGTTGTCTAAAGATGATACACTTTTCTAAAGATAATTGAGCCTGTGAACTCTGAGCCTGCCCATGAAAACCAGTGTTAAAGGCCTGGCAGATCAGAACAACAAACGTGATTATGTGTAAAGGCATATGAAAAAGAGGGAAAACTGATACTGCAACAAGGAGGTTGAAATGTATATGATAAGTATTTTGTGAAATTCTAAATAAGAAAAAGAATAGGATAGATAGATGAAAGGAATGAAAGGAAAAGGCTAAGACTAACAATACAAAAACAATTAAGATATTTTAAGTAGAATGAAGGAATCTTAAAAAAAAAAAAAAAGAAAATTTGAATTAACCCCAAGTAGTGATTCCCTGTATGCATGATATGTTATGGCAGCTTTTCAGGAAAATAAAACTTTTTGGGAGTCTTACAAATATTAATGAATTGATGGATAATTTCTCTATAAATTGACCCTGCTATTGAAAGGAAATTCAATTGGAGGTGTTGTAAGTGCAGAGAAGGATGGTGAAGGGGGGACAAAAGAGACCTGGAAAAGCTTGAGAAGTGGACCCATGGGAACCTGATCAGGTTCAACAAGTCAAGTGCAAAGTGCTACATCTGTGTTGGGGCAGCCCCAGATACTAGCACAGGCTGTGGGATGAACAGATCAGAGCACTCCTGCCAAGAAGGACTTGGGGGTGCTGGGGGAGGAGAGGCTGGACATGACCCAGCCATGGGCACTCACAGCCCAGAAAACCAAACATGTCCTGGGCTGCATCCAAAGCAGCGTGGGCAGCAGGGGAGGGAGGGGATTCTGCTCTGAGAGCCCACCTGCAGGGCTGCATCCAGCTCTGGGGTCCCAGCACAGGAAGGACACGGACCTGCTGGAGAGAATCCAGGGGAGGGTCAACAACATGACTAGAGGGATGGAGCCCCTCTCCTATGATGTCAAACTAGGCAAGTTGGGGATGTTCAGCCCAAAGAAGAGAAGTCTATGGGGAAATTTTGTAGCAGCCTTCCAGTACCTAAAGGAGAATTACAAGAAGGCTGGAGATGGACTTTTTAGAAGGGTGTATAATGACAGGACAAGAGGCAATGGCTTTAAGCTGAAGAAGGGTAGATTTAGGTTAGATGTTAGGAAGAAGCTATTTACAAGTGAGGTTGATTAGGCACAGGAAAGGTTGCCCAGAGAAATGGTAGATGCCCCATCCTGTGAGTGTTCAAGGCCAGTTTGGTGGGGATGTGAGCAATCTGCTGTAGTGATAGGTGTCACTGGGCTCAGCAGGGTTTGGAACTAAACGATTTTTTATATTGCTTCCAACACATGCCATTCTGTGTCAACTGCTGAGATGTGTTCAATGTGTGTGCAGTAAGAAGGTCTCTAATAAATATACTGGCAAGGCAAAGATGAGTGCTTGAGGTTTGATGAGGTCCAGGCAGTTCTTTGGGGAAAAGCTGTTTTGATTATTGTGAGCAATGAGGTTTCTTTCCAACAATTATCACAAGTGGTATAAAACCTTACAGTAAGACATACAGATTAGGTGTTTTGAATAGTGTGCACACATACTAACTTGCTGCTTTACTACCAGATTATTTTTTAAACACATGGAGGTGATGCTGAAATTGCATCTTTTTTTTTTTTCCTTTCATTTTAGTAAGAGAATGGCTGGTTTTGATTACTCTGTAGGACAAAGTGTTTTCTGAGTTGAGGGTTTATTTATAAAGCAGTGTTCTTGACAAATAAGTATTAACTGATGAGCTAGAATTATCTAGTTTGTAGAGGAACTTGTACTTTAAAATGGATCTGATTTAGCAGTTCCATAATCCTGCTCATGGAAGTGTATTTGCTTTGGAGTTTGAGTGTTAAAATGTGGAATGGTCACTCGGCTCAAATACTACAGAAGAAGTATTAAACATATGCATTGTCTTAAACTGATAGAAGGTGTTTTGCAAATACTTTTTGACCAATGTTATGCTGGTCTCTTAACATTTTCATTAGTTATCTGAAGTGAGAAACAATTCTGTGTGGACAGAGAGAGAACAAAATACAAACAAACACTAGGACAAAATAAGATTTAAGTAAACCAAAAATTATTACAAATACTAGAATAAACTAACAATTTAAAGTGTTCAAAGTTAAATCCTTTGTACAAGATTGATTAATAAGAAAATAGAAACAACTGATGTAATGTGACTGATTGATTAATAAGAAAATAGAAACAACTGATGTAATGAAATGTGAAGCAAAATTCAGCTTAAAGGAGAAAGCAGCTTCCTGAGACCCAGTTCTCTTTAAATCTTAGAATAATTTTGCCAAAGAACTGGTGGGAGTTCTGCTGTCTGAGACAATACTCAAAGGAACTTCTCTGCATTGATAAAGAATAAAGAGTGTCTGCTCCTTTCTACTTGACACTCCCTCCTGTTTGACAAAATAAATATCATATATCTTACGTCAACATCGGCGTCTTTTTTCCCCAATTCTTTCTAATTCTGGCTGCTCGATTTGTTCCAGGACAAGACACAATCTGTTCGTATTTGAAGCCTACAATGTACAATGAAAATATATCATGCCTAATTTTCTCTCTGATCTTAATTAATCTGTCTCATTTTCCCAGGCAATTGACCTGTCTAAGTATCCTACTCTTATTGATTTCCTCTGTATACAGGGCTGTTAATGCACTTTTATACAGATTAATGGTTCAAATGCATTATTCTTTCATAAAAAATTAGGAGTCTTCCTGCCTTCAGGAATATTATTTCTAAGCTTTGAGTCAGACATTTCAGTTTAAACACTTTAGCCCTGTTCTGAATCTGTTTTTTTCCCCTAGTGCACGGAACAACCATGCATAATTAACAACAAAAACTTAATAAGTGGCTTAATAATTTAGCCTTGGGCAGAGGCTAGCTCAGCAACTCTCTTCTATGTTCTTTTTTAAAAATACCCTGGAACTATGTATCTAATTCTTTCCTTCAGTGTTCAGCCAAGTAACTTGATGTGTTTAATTTGAACTTTGTAGTAAAGCAATGAAAGAAATGTTATAGTGCATCTGAAGTAACTTTTCAGCCAATGCATGGAGATCAGCAGCCAGCAGCTGAAGAACACTAAATTAAATAGCTGGCAACCTTTCGGAGAAGAACTACAGAATGGGGGTCACAGTTCAGTAGTAGTGCCAATGATCAGTTGTAGAGTTTGATTCAAAATGCTTTTTAAATAGGCAGGGCCTGCTAAGACTTATAAAAGAAGTGCTGATACCTGAGTGTGTAGGCCATCAAGACTTTGGAAGTGTTTATTGTATCCGAAAATAAATGTTTGACAGATGAGTCTGAAGTGGAAATTCTTCAGTAGCATTACATAGAAGTAGTTAACAGCTCAAAAAAGAGATCATAACCTCTCCAAATACTCCAAACGTCTTTTCCATTTTTGTATTTTCTGGATTTTTTTTCTGTATCGTTCTGTCTCTGATTACATGGGCTGGTACTCCATAGAAGCTTTTTAAATCAGTGGTGCCAGTGACTTGCCTTATTGTCCTATAATAAGCAGTAAGAAACTGAAAAAGACAAAAATGCATCTCTTGCAGATGAAATAACAATACCTAGTTTAAATGTAATGTTTTTTAAGTAGGTTTCTGGATATGTTCTTCATCTGTATTCAAAACCTTTATTTTCTATATGGCTTACTTTTTCATTTGCTGTTAAAGATGTGTAGGGAGATAAGATGACATCATTCAACATCTATGTTCATTTGGTAATGCAGCTCTAAAGCCTTCACCTTCAAAGAAACGGTGTAATTCCATCACAGCCCTAAAGGCAGCATCACAAGAAATAGTGTGTGCAGTTAGCCAGGAGTGGAAGGATGAAAAGCATGGCATTCTTGCTGAAGGACAAAGTTATGCCAGCCTTGATGAAGAAGGTACGGACTTTCAAATGAACAACCTGAATTATGTTATTAAAAATTTTGTATAAGCTCTAGAAGTCCTGTAACTAGAACATTACTAGTATGGCTAAACTCTCAAAATAAGAGTCAGGTTATTCTTAGGGAGAGAGTAGTTAGTAATATTTGTCAAGATGGACCTTCAGAAGCAAGACAAAGTCAGAACCAAAGTTTGTAGTATGATGTTAAACTTTCAGATTTCAGGACATCCTGAAGAAAGGTATTCAGGCCAGGTAGAAAATTTTGGCCAGAGACAATGTTATCCTTTTCACTGACCTCTAAAGAAGCATATCACATTAAGTGTTTTGAAGCTCAGTTCATGTTCCCAGATGTTTTTTTAAGAGATACAACTTTGCCCCTTTCAGAACTTGCCTGAAGCCCTGATGAAAGCAGAGCCAATTACCTAATCCAATCTGATAAATGAGCCCTGGGTAGCATGAGAATAGTCCTCAGACTGAGAAGAATTCATAACTCATACCTCTGTTTAATATTTGACTTTGGAGTTACTCTGTATTCTGCTGAATGTACTTGTAGCAGCTGAAATTCACTCTGTAATATGAAAGAGTGTGGGTTTGGGCATATGAATAATACCATCTCATCAATTCAAACATTAGGAAACTTCAAGAAGCTTATGAGGGCACTATGGGACTTGATGTACTTACATGAAGATTCTTGGGCTAAATTTAAAATTAAGTTTGTTAACATTGTTCTTTATTTCTGCATATGCAGCACTAGGTTCACACCACCAGCCGGATCTAGTGCCAAGCACTCCGTCTCTGTTTGAAGCAGCTTCCTTGGCAACCACACTTTCTTCTTCTTCCTTGAATGCAGATGATCACTGTCAACGTGATCAACCTACACTCTATTCTAGCAGGTAAAGGCTAGAATCCTACATGTTAGAGAATTTTCCTCTGTTCTGCTAGAAGTTTAACATTGTGCTCAACAAACGGGGGCTCTGCAAAATAAGAAACAGAAGGGGCAAGTGTCTCTGTAACTCAGTCTTTAACCTTTCCAGTGAAGGAGGGGTGCCAAAAGGTTGTAGAATTTATAATGTATTTGTTTGTAATTATACATATTGTAATTGGGAATCATGAAATAGAAAGCATAAATGTGGTGAAAAACGTTATATGAATTTTTCTTCATGTTCCAAAACTAAATTGAATATCTAAACTTTGCTTGGGCCTTAAACCGTACCATAAGGTCAGGGTAGGAAGTAGTCCTTATAACTTGGCTGTAGATAGAAACAGCTGCAGAAAGTGGTGATGTGCTAGGAAAATGAAAAATTGTTCTTTATTCTGAATGTACAGTGAATGTACACTGAATGGTCTGCTTTAAATTCTTCCATAACAACCATTTTCTGAAGTAAATTTCTGTGAAACTTCATCCACGGGTGTGCTTAGAGCCTGTTTGATTTTAATCCGGAAGTATAAAAACAGGAATGTCTTAAGAAAAGTTGTGCAGATGCTATTGAGCCAGGTTAAATGTGATTTGAGTTGTATTTGAATATATTTCAGCTGTGTCAGTTCAGTACCATGCTTAAGCGAGAACATCTTGCTGGGAGATTGTAGATGCCTGTATGCTCCCTTGTGAACCTGAAGTGTGCTGTGTTGTGTCACCTTGCCTGCTTGCAGATCTCTTTACTGTGCATTGAGCCATTTCTTTGCCTGTTTTCATCAAGAAGGGTAGCAATTCAAGCATCTTGAATATTGTTTGGAAAAATTTGGACTGAACTCCTCAATGTATAAATTTGACAAACACACTAATGTGCCAAGATGTAGTTCTTTCCTGTAAACTGCATGTTGCCCAAAAAATCAAGTTATTTTAAAAGCAATCTTGAGACAGTAGGTTTTTACATCCTGTTAAATATTTGACAACTGTATTTACATAAAAAGTAAAATGACTTGCAGCATTACTCGATGATAGTGATATTTACAGCTTCCACTTCCATTATGTTGAAAAAAATTTCACTGATGTGGCATCTTCTATAGGCCTGATAATTTGCTATAAAAATTGGAATGAAGCATGTTTTGGGGTGTAATGAAGATGAAGTTTTTATTGCAGAACAAAAATTTTTCTGCACAAGCTTTAGGAAATAAAACTACTGATGAATAAGCATTAGTAGAAATAGATCTCATTCACTTCAACTTATTTACCTATAGGACTTCAATATTCATGATCTTTCACAAAGTTTTTTCTTTGATAGAAATAAAGTTATAGAGTACTTTAAGCATCAAATAAAAATACAGAACTGCTTTGTATCAGCATCAGTCAGGAAAAGCAAATGGTGAAGTTGTCTGAATAAAGAGTTCAGATTTAAGGTGTTTCAAATATTCCTTACTCTCTAAAAAATTAACTGTAAAGAAAATCTATAAGTAATTCTACTATATTGTACTGTAAACATACTCCAAAATAGCAGGGCTACACTATGATTGCACATCTAGACTCATTTACTTCCCAGTAGTGATGCAGTCAATTAAATAACCTCTAATGCAAGGCAGCTATGTGATTAGCATGGGTATCTTAAAAAATCAGGTTGTTAGTGTCTGCAGTCCAGGTATGGACTTCATCATCATGAGAGGGCACATTCTCTGACAAATTAGACCTGGTACCAGCATTCACAGATGTGTGGTTCTCTCCACATCTTCTGCCGAAACATCTACACTGTAGCCAAGAGATCTGCCATAGGGGCTTACCAACTAACATCTTTGCTGGTCTAGGTATGCCCTCTTCAGCTAGGGCCTGGAGGCAGTTTTTAATTCTCATTATTAGTTGTGTGTGTCACAATTTCAGTATGTACAATTCATGAGGATTAGCTTCCCTGTCATAGCTAGGAGTTAAGAAAGCTGCAAAGCATGCTCAGTAATGAACTAATTTCCATAAGATTCTGGGCACCTGCTGTTTTGTGCCCACTTTTTTTGGCATCAGTTCAGGGAGGTCATTCCTTCTTCTTGGTGCTAAAAAATATATACATCTAAAGTTTTGCTTATGTTTTTATGGTTCACTCAAGGAACTTCAGTCCTCTCATAAAAAAAGCTAGCAGGGAAATAAACCCACAAAAAACCCCCGTGCTACAATGATGCAGCGAATTGTAGATTCAGATCTGAGTTTTTTCTTGCCAGAGTTCTTCTTTTGAATATTAGAAAATTATGTGATGCAGGACTCATCATTTTACCATTTGTCTCTGATAAAACAGAAAGCTTGGAGCAGTCTTTGAAACAAAGCCTGAATTAAAGATTTGTTTACAAATGTGAGCCTGTCTTCAATCTTTAAATATGTAGTTGACTATGACATTCTGCTTTGTTATTTATTAGAATTACAGTTTGGCATCGTCTTCATCAGGCTTTTTTATTGTGATTCAAAGTAACATAGCACAAAGTAGAGAGTACATTAATTTGCTTGTAACCTGTCAGAAATTTCTGGTTTAAGGTAATAAAGAATGAGAGTCCTGTGTGCTTAGTAATAATGTGATATTTGTACATCTCCTTGACTCCTACTAATGAGCAGTATGTGCCCATACTACTTAGAAAACAGATGGTATTATTTTCCTCATTAAAAAGAGAGTAATAATACTTTTCGATACCTTGAAGCACACACCGTATTTCCTATTTGGGTTTTTTCTTCAGAATTACCCTCTGTTATCCAATGTAATACTTCCCCAAGGAGAGGCAAATGGCTTATAACATAAGAAAGGTGATCAGCACCCTCTCTCCTTGAGAGTGCTCAGCATCTGTGGGTAGAAAGGGAGAAACTGCTGCTGCTGAGGTTAAGCAGACGGAGGTGACTTGCTGAGGTGGAGCCAGCTCTTGATGCTGTGTCTTGTGAGGAGGGCTTTTGTAAAGCTGTCTTGGTGCAGGTTAAAACTAGCATAACTAATTGGTATATAGTGCAGAGAAGTGTTTAGGGACTTATGATTAAAGTGAAAAAGAGAGCAGTCATAAACATACAACTTATTAGGAGTGTTTTTCCAGGCTGCAAGCTGATTATTTTCACCAAGTTATTCTTCAGTTGCTGAAAAAGTAGAGGAAACCCAAGGTGCTATCCAGACAGTGTGAACAGGAATTAGTAAAAATGAAAGATTCATGGAGAGTGGGAAATGGCTGTATTTTTCAGCACAAAAAGGACTGGATCTAAAAACAGAAGGAAAAAGAAAAAAAAGACAATCATGACATATGCTGTTCAGTAAATGTAGGCCTTCTTGTATGTCAGAAGACAGCTGGTATCTTTTCCATGAAGCTGTTTCTCAGTCAAGTGGTTTTATCCTAAGTAATCTCAAGTATTCCTTTAGTAAAAGAACAGAATTGACAATTTATTGCTTCTATTAAAATTTTCAAATATTTTCTATTCCTCAAGTAGGTTTATATTTGGTGCAGAGATATTTTAGTACCTAAAGGGTCTGTTTTCCACTAGAAAATGTAATTATTAGTCCAAAACTACTTCTTTGAAAGGGTTTATCTGTTTTATCTTAGGAAATGTAATACATATTATATTAGGGATTATTTTTATAGCAGAAGTGATAACAGATATTTTCCTCTTCCAGGAAAAGTTTTTCTATTTAGTACTGATGAATTAAATTAAAGATGACAAATCTGAATGCCCTAAGCACTGTGACTCTTGTCTCACTTGACATGGCTTTTAGAATTGCAAAGAGCTGAAGAAGGTCAATGGTGCTTCTGGAAATGTTTGAAACTTGCTTTAAAATATTTCAAAATGTTTCAAACTGTAGATGTTTTACAATTCTTGTTTAAATAGCCCAAGAATATAGAAAGTATTCTTTCAATATATTTTTCAGCAGGTCTCATGGGACTCTCCAGTCCCAAACCCAAACAAAATCCCATGATGGTTAAAGGGGTGCTTTACCTCCCTCTTAAGAGCAATGCCAAGATGCTGTGATCTATATAAGGAGGACTGCTGAATTCTTCTGATACATCTGAGCCTAAGAAAAAAAAATCTACATGAAATCTATTTCTTCTTTCTCTTTATGCATTCTATACCTCATTTCTGGAAGATGTATATGTAGTCTGGACTTCTGCCTTCTCCTTCTTTCTTTCTTATCTATGTATTTTTCAATTTTTTGTCTTACCTTTGTATTGCTGTTTCTTGGTGGAGACCACTTGGAATTTTGGAAGGCTTTGAGGGATTGTGGGTTTGTTCTCCTACATAGTCAAGCTTCCTGAAGCATCCAGACCTTAAAATGCTGTTCTGCTATTTTTTTCCAGTGACAGGGATTATAGGTTTTTTTCTGTTGTAAGGAATATTAAGCACCCCTTTTGCCAGTTGGTGTTCTACATAAACAAACTTTTGTGTGTTAAATTTCAATGTTCTCTCTGTCCACACACTACTGTTAGCTTCTGAAGCTTAGACAACTTTGTTTGAATCTGATTCAAAGTGGACTAAATTCACACATGCTTCATGATTGGGTGGAAGAAAAAGGCTTGAATGCTCAAAGACTATGAACAGATGCACTGAGTCACTGGGGGTATCGCCATGGGAAAGAAAATTTGACTATGATTGAAACAACATATAATTGTTGCTTAAAGTAAAACAAAGCTTTCCCAGTTCTCTAATGATGGAATTATTTTTGCTTCTTTTTTTCTTTCTTAATTAAGAACCAAGATCAAATAGAATGTTTTAGCCAGAGGAGGGCAACAGCATAGTTGAGCATGCTCCTTATGGCTGGTCATTACTGAATGCAAGAAAATACCTGTAAAAGTGTTTGGGTTCTTTTGGGTTTTTTTGGGTTTTTTTTTGCTTGTTTTTTCTTATTCAACCTAAGAATTAAGGATGAGAACTCAGTGCACTGTAGAAACTGTATTAAAACTCTGTTCCTTTAAACTGCTCTTTCTGAAACACTGTGTGTGAGGGGATTTCACTTCTTTCCTGTGCCACACCCAATATCGTTTTGCCTTACCAATCTCATTGAAATCAGGCTGCATTAAAACTGGCAATAAATGTAGCTATGATAATGCTATTGAAGAAATTTGAACTTCAGTTACCAACTGCTGACAGCATGTGTATTGCTGTTAAGAGATTAATTACAAGATTTTTGGTTTTACTCTTTTACACTACTCAGTAGAATTCAAGTTACACATATGAGAATAATGCTAAGTCAATGGGACCTAGGTCATCCAAGTACAAGAGAAATAGTCTTGCTTTTGAAAAAATGTCAAGTGCATTACATGATAAAAGGAATGTAATGTGGTGAATGTAAAGACCTGTTCCAGTATGACATTGATTCATTATTTTGTTGAGCATTTGAATCCCAACTTTACATGCTAGTTTCTGCATGTTGAATTGTGCATGCTAGTTTTGCCCTTTCTGAAGTTCTGTCCTATCTGAAATATACTTAAAATAGTACAAAGAGAGGGGAAAATTAGTCATAGCTGGACTGATGGCTGTAACCATGTCTCCATACCAAGTTATAATTCAGAATTTTTGCTTTTCACCTTGTCTGTAAACAGGTAAGAATTTCTAAAATATGTCCCTGCAGAACTGACAGTTGAGTTTTCAAGGCAGCCTGGAGCCTAATTTCTGGCAGCTAGTAAGATATGCGATAAGGGACATCTGAGTCCGTTAAAACACCTTTGAGAGTTTCGGCTTTGTTGACCAAGTGTGTTACAAAACGAGGTTTGTGTGGAGATGCATTTGCAGTTTCACATTATTTCTGTAAGGCAGAGAACAAAAAATCAATCAATGAATAAAGTAATAGAATGCACCTGCTCTGTAAACATCACTCCCTTGCATAGGTGTACTAATTACAATATACTCTTGTTCTCCCACTTTTCCTTCTGAACTTATGGCTGCTAGTAAACTGTGTCTGCATGGAAAAATCCAATGTTACTAATGTTACAATATGCCTAATTGCTTACTCTTTTTCCCCCATTTTGAATTACAAAATGCTGCCAAAATTTACACCATGCGTAATGTGGAAATAATGCATTTTGAGATTAATGTAATTATGTGACATTTACTGTGACACAGTTTAATTCATTAAATAAATATTGAAACTCAGTAATAGCATTACTTTCTGATAAAATTTTAGTAAATGCGAAAATAAATTGTGCAATTAGTCAAATATGAGCTTCCTGTTATCTAACCATTGCCAACATAATTGTTTATTTGCATTCCTTTTTTCCAAGTATTTTGAAGATTTTCATGTTTAATAGAGAGACTTATTTTAAAATTTTCAGTTATGACTGAGCTTTGTAACTTGGGGTTTTGGTTGACTGTACTCTCCCTTCTCTTTGCAGTAAAGAGTTACCTTCAAGTTCTACATTCACTTTGGGAGACAGTGCCATCTATTTGACTTCAGAACAGAGCACATTGGAAATGGAAAATGATAATGCTTCAGTTTTGGATGTCTACTTAGTAAGTTGTCAAACTGTTTCTAATGGGCTTTTTTTTTCCCTGTAATTGCTTTGACTCAGGCTCAGTAAATGATTAAAATACCTGCTCAACTTCAATCCAGAGGTTTATTGAGGTTTTTTTTGTATGAAACATGCATAAGTTTGCACAGGTATGATTTGCCAAAGCAAGTCCCTAAAGAATTTATATGCATATTAATTATTGCATTAATAATGAAGTATGCCAAAACACCTTTCAGTTTTTCTCTAATGGTTAAGAGGTCTTTTCTGTTGTTTCCTATTGGAGAGAAAAAAACCAAAACCCAAACCAACAAAAACAACAACAAAGTCTTTCCTCTTCATGTAGAATACTTCACAATATAGAAATAAAAATTTCTCTGGTTGGAAAGTTCTGTGTTTATGCCACTGATTTTGAAACCAGTAGAGCTCAGTGTGAAATACATTAATGGCCCCCTCTTCTGATTTGAAGGGTTGTCCAATTGTGACAGCTGATTAAAAATGTATCTTTTCTTTACTTTTTCAGTTCCTAGTAAGCAATTTATCTAACTGCTGAAAGATAACGCCAAGTATATATTTTGTTGTCTTCATATCACCTGTGTTTCAGATGTTCTCTAGCTCACATTCCACAGACATAAAGGCAGTAGGCACCCAATTCAAATCCCAACTGAATGAAGTTTTTTTGCATCTAATTTTTTTAGGCTCTTCTGAAATTGTCAGTATAAATGTAGGGGGCAGATATGTTAAGCTTGGCCTTTTTTCCCAAAGGCTTATTTTCATAAATCATAAACGATTCTGACATTATTCTAGTAATATTTCCCCTTGACTGTCATGGCAAGAATTGTACCAGAGATGAAGAATCAAAAGAGGAAAATTTGTTAACATTTCTAATAAATGTTTTACAGATACATGGTTGTTTCCTTTCTAGATAAAATTTATTGCATTTTTTATTTTTCTTATCCCTAGAGTTACCTGATCTTTGTCTTAAGAAATCCATACTATCTTAGAATCATAAAACAGCTCAGGTGGATGGAGCTTCAAGAGATCATCCAGTCCAACTTCTTGCAGAAAAGGGAGCCTAGATAAGATTATCTAACACCCTTTTGCACGGCAGCTTAAAAACCTCCAGCAACTGGAACTCTGCCACATCCCTGAAGAAGTTGTTTAATTAATTATTGCCCAGAAAAAAAAAATTCTTGTGTTCAGATGAAACATGTTTGTGTCTGATATTACATCAAGATGAAATATGTCACATTCTCTTTTTCTGTAGGCTGTGCCACTGATGTTTTTTTCTTTCTTCTTTAGTCAGTAATGCTGGAGTGCGTATAGTACTCAGTTAATATCTACTAATTTAATAGCCCAGCACACTTAGGGGAATTGTTGTCTGTCCTGCCTCCACTGACACAAAATAGTATCAAGTACCAGTGGCCAATTAGATGTAGAATGCTTGGTTCCTCCCCCTGGGCAGAGCATCTCACAGTGGGATGATGTAATTTTATCAGTCATGCAGTGAGGCTTGATGGCCCATTAGCAGAAGATATCCACCTCCCCGCCCCCACCCCCTTGCCCCGAGGGAGTTATCAGGGGTGAGTCATGGAAGAGATAAAGAACACTGCCCCACCTGGTTTTAACAGATGGTGATAGAATACATACTTTTGTTTACATCTTGCCTTGCAACCTAAGGCAGCAGTTAAGCAGAAGCCCAGGGAAGACAATGGCCCATTATTAGACCAGGCAGGGGAAAAAGTTAAGATAATGCTGGCAAAACAGAGCTTCTCAGTACCTTCTTTCCTCCTTGTTCAGCGGAGTGGCCAGAACCAGACCGTAGCTCCCAGGATCAAGCAGCTACAACTACAGACATATTGACCTATCAGTAGTGGCCTGCAAAGTGCTCAACCCACATAAATGCAAGGCCCAGGAGGGGATATACAGCAGAGTATCAGCAGAAGTGGCTGATAGTGTTGCAGGGCCACTGTCCTATCATTTTTGAAAATTCATAGAGTTCAAGGGGCATACCTGATGACTGGAAGAGGGCAGATCTCATACCTGTCTGTAAGAATGGCCCAAAAAAAGACCTAGTATCCTTACTGCAGTCCCTGGGAAAGTGGCAGAACAAGCCTCCTAAGAACTATTACCAACTAAATGAAGGAAGTGACTGGGAAAATCCAGCACAGATTTATCAAAACCAAATTATGCCAGGCTAGCCTGATCACCTTTCTGAAACAAATTACCATATTCAGTCAATAATGAAAAAACAGTGGATGTTGCTTGCCTGCACTTTAGTAAAGCATTTGACATATGTCCCACAGCTAGACAAATGTCAAATATAGACTGGATGGGGGTGATCTATGAGATGAGCAGGAATCATCTCATAGGTGATCAGCTTGTTTTACTGAGGTTGGCAGCCTGTCCCAGGTGGGGCCCCCTAAGGATCAGTACCAGGCTCCAAGTTGTAACATCTCCATGAATGATCTGGATGATGAGAGCAAAAGCACACTCACCATGTTTGCTGTGTGACTAAACTGGGTGCTGAGGGGGACTCATCAGCAGGGAGAGTCACCTTACAGAGATATGAACAGGCTGGAAGATCGGGCCACAAGAACTGTGTAAAGTTCAACCAAGGAAGCGCAGAGTCCTGCACCTGGGAGCACAAAACCAAAGAGCCTGGCCAGGCCAGGTCCCATGAGCTGTAGGACAGCCTTGCCAAGAGGAGCCCGGGGGTCCCAGCGGACAACACACAGACACCAGGTCAGCAGTGACTGCTGCAGCTACTGACTGAGGCAAAGTGGATCCTGAGATGCATCCATGGGGGCACTGCTAACAGAGAGGGATGTGACCATCCCACTTCACCAGCGCTTGTCAGACTGCACATGGAGTAGTGTGCCCAGGTCTGGCCCCCACAGTTCCAAAACAGATGTGGATGGACTGAAGATGAGTCAAAGGAATGCCATAAAGGTGGTCAAGGATAGGGAGAACTTGACATTTGAAGAAAGAGTGTAAAAGTTAGCTCGTGTCAGTCCACAGAATTTTCAGGAGGGACCTCAACAAAGTTTTCCAAAACTTAAAGGCATGACTGCAGGTAGTATGGAGACCCTCCTTTTCTCTAGAGGCAGTGGATACAAGTTGTAGTGAGGGAGGTCTCCTCTCTATGTAAGAAATAACTGTTTTTACAATGAGAATGATTCAAGGAGAATGATTTACAATGAACATGATTTTATAATGATGAATGATGCACTGGAACAACTTCCCCAGCATATGTGGTAAAGTCCCCATCACAGGAGGTTTTCGAGATGCAGCAGACAGTGATGCTTGATAATCTCATCCAGGCTGCCTTTCCACAAAAGGTTAGGAGGAATTAGATAGCCTCTTATGGTCCCTTTAGCCTGGGCTGATCTGTGGTTCTTTTGGCCCCCTTTAAACAGTGAAACAATTTATTCTTGATAGCTTTTGAATTTAGTTTATAAAGCAACAGTCTTCTTTAACAATAATACTGCTTTGCACTGTGAAGTATTTCTTTATAGGTTTGAAGTCTGTAGAGTAGAGGATGGAATGCTCTGAAAATCTAGTGACAGGCACAGGTAACACCTTTTGTAAAGCTGTCTGTATGCGTTTGAGGTGTGAAAATAATCTCTTTAGTTAGTTTTCAGCTTGTAGAACATTCATTACTATTATGTCTTGGAGATTGCAGTAAGTAGATGTGTATTCCACTGATGAATTTCAACAGAAAAACAATTAAAATGCATACTGGTGCATACTGGAAACAACAATTAGCCTGTGGCTGGGAAAACTTGATAATACTAAAGTATAAGTGCTGATCAGAAGGCAATTTTGCTTTTATAGGAGGATGATTGCATGTTAGAAGGAAAAAATGCATATTTTTGAGAACGCTAGGAACAGGCTAGTAATTTCTAATGTACATCTTAAAAATAAAGCAAATCAATGAAAGGTTACAAGATGTACTTTTAAAAGAGGAAAATGCAAGGAGAAAAACGTAGTTTTAAATGGCATTCTCAGATTTTCCTTTAAGCCTGTGATTAATAATCTTTGTGTTTCTACTACGAGGCAAGCTGCTATAGTCTTACCCACTATATATTTTAATGAAAAATACCTTAACTTGCTTAATTTTGGGCACCGTTAATCCTGTGATGCCTTTGCCTCCTGTTTTGAAATGCCAAAATGCTAAATCTTTTGGACAAATTTTAGTCCACTAGTAAATTAAGAAGTATAAATTTTTGGTCCCGTGTAGAGAAAAAAATTTTGTCGTAAAATGACATTGTGTTAATCTACTATAAAGAGTAAATTTAAAATGGCATTGTCTGAGCAGTTTGCATGGAAATTCTGAGAGTCAAGAAAGGTGAGGGGGAACAGAAAAAAAAAAAGTTTAAAAAAAAAAGAATTCCTCTTACAGGCAATAGTATTGGATTTGAGGTGTTACATTAAGGGAACTCCAAGCAAACTCACACTGTGCTGCTGATGTCAAAACTGAGAATGTACCTGGTAACAGCAGGTTACAAGAATTCTTGTTCCAGGACACAAGTGGAGAGACATCTTGGGTTCACAACTGAATGCTGATAAAAGACCAAGTTCAAACTAGCATTTTGTTAATCTGCTACTCTAAGAAGCACTGTTACGTACCTTCCCAAATCAAGTTTACTTTTAAGTTACATTGGTTTATTTTCTCATACACCTTTTAACCCAGATAATAGCTTAAGAAATTTAGCTTTTATGATTAGAATATGACTAAGCAATGAGCAATAAGTATAAGATGATTTCTAATTCTAAATTATTTCCAATTATTCTAGTAACGTAGTTACAATACTGATTAATTAATGCAAGTAATTTTAACTATCAATTAAATAAAAGTAATAAGTAATACAATTAATAATTAGAAATAATAAATAGAAGATAGGTGATGTAGAAAAAATTTCTAAATTTGAAATGTTTCTCTGCCTAACTTCAAACATTAAAGGCTTCTTGCTTTTATGAATATGTAATACAATGACAGTTGGAAACAAATGATTCTGTCTGAGATAAACAGATTTCTTGTATATAAACCAGAAACAGAGAAGGTAACACACTTCCATTTAGCACTTTGATATAGAAATCTACAAAACAGGGTTTCCTTCTTACTCTGTAAAAAAAATTTGACCTCTTTTTAAAATTCCCTTGAAGTCCTCTATACTGGTTTCAGTTCAGCAAATGCTGTTGTCAGTGTCTCAGTGTCCTATGGAATTTGATTAGTTAAAGGTAGAAGTCCAATCTTGCAAAAGTTCCTTAACAATGCAACCAATCCTGAAGACCTTAGTCCAGCATCGCCATGGAGTGCCTTAAAAGTGATAATTCCACTTAAAAAGTAAGGAATAAAAATCGCCTTACTCCTTCTCTTTTGCAGTGAAGTATCAGATTTTTGATTGAGTTTTCTCTAGCTAAAAAAGCAACACATGCTATTATAAACTATTTTACTATGTTTTCTTTGCCTTCCCATGACATTATTTTTAAAGATAGCTGATATACTGTACTACAATATCAGTAAAATCAGTAAGTAAATAGTAAGGCTTAAGTAGTAGTAAGGAAGTAGTAAGGCTTAGGTATTTAATTGATTTACTTCAAGTAGGCTTGATTTCCCTTATACTTCCAACAGAAAAAGGACATGCATGCAAATAGCAGTGAAAAACTTTTAAGTTTCTTCTATAATGATGCTGTATATGTTAAGTCATCTGGTGGAAAATACAGGATTTAAATAAAGAAATATGTGTCCAGTGTATAGGATCTTTAATAAATGTATGTCCTGCGTATAGGATTTCATTAATGAATTACTTTTTGCTTACAGAATACTTCTGTATATTTAACTACAATGCAAAATTCTTGGGGAGTGCAGATGTTTTCACATGAAAATACAACATTGCCTCCTGTTGTTAAAGGAAAGGTTCATAAAATTTATATTTAAATGTCACTGCTACTGAAGATATGGGTTGGTAAGGCCTTCAGTAAAATAAAATCATGGAATAACTGTAGTGATGAGCAAGCCCAGTATATTTAGAGCCTTGTTAGTGTAGCTATGATTTGTGTCAGAAGAATTGCATAGATTATATTATTACATTTAAAATTACTTATAGTGTGGTTTATTTCCAAATGCCAATTTTATTATAGGTTTTTGAAATTTTAAAATAATATTGAAGATTAATTATGTATTTCAAAGCTGCTGTAGATGCATAGGTAAGCAGATGAACAATTATGCTTCTAAGCAAAATGCTTGTTTAGAAGCTGTCAAAACTTTGACTCTTCAGTATTCCTTTTCTTCTGTACTCTTCCCCATAATTTCAATTAAATTTTAATCATGGGGTAGTTATTTTCAGGGTGCTGTTGTGGGATAATTAAAAGTGCGTCTGAAATTAAAGCAATTTCCAGGCAGAATACATGTAAAAACAAGCTAAAAGTTGTGCTGTCACACTGCACAGCATACCTCAAATTTTGATATGTTGCCCTTTTTATAGAAAATTCAGTTTCTCTGCTTCACCATTTCCTCTGAAGATACTGGTGGAAAACTCAGTAGACTGAACCTGAATACTGGGAATATGAGAAAGGAATTATGACCTCCTCACATACAGGCATCCTTTCTTTCCCCTGAGAGCATAAGAATCCTTAAAATGTTATGTGTGCATGGTAGAGCCAATCAAGCACTCCCCTCAAAACAGAACTTGTTTAAGGCTGAAAGGGGCAAACCAACTTGTTTTATGCAGCACAGTTAACTGCTCGTTTCCTCTGTTGTGATCTATGTTTTCCCTGTATCCATCCATGCATGATCCAAAAAAAGGAGAGGGAAAAACGAGGCCTATGTGTCCCATGAAACTGAAACCAGGTCAGAGGTGAAAAACAAACGAGCAGTCAAACGTTGTTTGGCAGAGGTGCTCTTGCAGAAGAAACATTATGTAAGAAGGAACATTTTAGTCACCCTTGCATGAAAATCAGACACAGGAATTAGGTGCTTGATTAGATTAAAAAGGTACCAATTCAGATCACTAGCAACATGTTGCCTGAGGAAGCCAAGTGCTAAAATACCAGCATGGTATTATCACATGTTCTCATGCCTGGGGCTTTTAAAAGAGGAAATCAATCAGCTCAAAAACATATCCATGGAAAGAGAACTGGAGCACAAAAATGCTCCAAGACAGCCTCAAGTAGGCACAAACGTTGTAAATCCATTATATACACAGTGTGAGACATCTCAGGCAGTGATTATAGGAATGATTCCTGTAATGTCATTTGTGCATTATTTATCATTTTGGACCAAATTGCTACAGCCAAACTCAGTTTTTATTTTTAAAAAAGAAGTTTCCTTTATCTGTAATCAATGAAATCCAAAAATTGTGTAGTAGATACAGTGTTGCCTAGAGGATCATGTCCTGAGCCTTGAGATAGATGGATTTCTTTCCAGAATAATACAGTACTGGACTGTACCTGCCATAAATATGAACATCTGAAAATCCCATCTTCTTAAAAGAGCATTAGTACCATCAAGAGTATTTCTGTGATTGACTCATACAGTTGCTACAAGTTATTGTCAGGTCTCTTTTCTCCAACTCTGTCATGCAACTTTTATTGAAATTTTTCATTGAAATGCTTTGGAAGGGTCAGAAGAAAGGAAACAAGAACAAGAATAAGCTAGTCATAATTCCATTGCATAATTAGTGGAATACCATAAAACCAGCATCAGCAATACCAATAGCCATCTTAGTGAAAAGCAGTAAAATTAATTAAAAGTCCTTGTTAGCTTTACATCACATTGATTTTAGAATACCACTTTCTTTAATTTTACTCACTTGTCCAACAATTTCACTTCACATATGAAATTGTTCTGTACTTTCTAAGTACTTTACTGCCTTAGGACATTCCAGTGCTCATATGTCCATCAACTCTACTTGCCAGACCACAGTTCCTGAGAAAGAGAGGGAACAGCACCTGAGAGATTGGTGCTGTGCTCAATAGCATCAGTGATTATGAACACCCTAATACTGGTGGACAATACAGTAGGAAGTTTAAAGTTTTCATAGAACAATATTGAAATATCGTTCCTCAAGGTTCAAGGGTTGTGCTAGAAGTTGTAATAAAAATATTGATTTAAATCTACTGGTTACATTTCTCTGAGATAAGCTTAAGAAATGCCTTCAGAGATTTTTTGTTCATAATCAAGATTAAACTGTTGTCAAACTATTTAAAGGTTAGTTAAGTGCCTGTATCAAAAAGCATAATGTAAAGGTGACCTTAAAAATCTGTTTAATAAATGGAACCTTACATCTTTGTAATGTTTTTTAATGAGGTTTTAGAGTAAGGTCATTACAGATCCCTTTGTTTTGATTTTGTGTCTTGCTACAATTTGGGTATATCAGCTGAGATGCATCCAGTTTACTGAAATATATTCTTCATCTACCACTTTATCCTTAGTTTGAATTGTCATAATAAAATGTTCAGCAAAGAAGAGTTTCTTTTCAGTTCATCTCTAACTCTACAGGGATGCCAAGAAGTGACCAACTATTTCTATGACATGAGGGTAGTTTAGAAAACTGTAATCCATTAAGATTAATATTAATTAATATCTTTTAATTTAATTTTTTTTGTGAAATCAAATTATTGCCACATTGACTTGAACATTAATTGTGCCTGAAAGTTTTTTGATAGGCATGATTTTTCACCTGGGGAAAGACACCATGCTTCTGCTGAGAGCACTAATATTCATGACATATGAAGACTGCTACTTTTAAGTAATAAATACCACAGTTCTGCAAGATAAAAATAAGCTGTTGTGAATTGCTAAGTGGTTTCAGATTGTTCTATCTTCTCTGATATCCAAAGTGTTCAGCATTTTGCAGCAGCAAGTAGTTCTAGTTCACATAATACAAGTGTACTGCAATGCCTGCAAAACCCATAGGGGTTAGCTGTTGTACAAGAGACCCAGTGCTTTTGATCAGGGCCCAAGGTCATAAGAGAATCACTGCCAAATTGTACTGCAGCCTGTTTGGGGGAAGAAAGATGTTACCTATGTATAATTCTGTAAGAAAACAAGTAAACACAACTCTTAACTTGTCATTTCTGTATTTCTAGTAACAAAGAATATATGAAGAGTAAAACTAAGGAAGTGACCATGGTTAATGAAGAGCACTTTCTGCACTCCTTGTTTAAGAAGAAGGAATTTGCTGCGCCTAATAGACAAAGAGTAATAATCAACAGAACTAATTCTAAGAAGTGCCATAGAAGTGCCATCTTTGAACCATAGAAAGAGTTGATGGACTTGACAAAAATCATATGAAACATTCCACACTCTGTGTTATCTGTCCTTGCTTGCTCAACTGTGAAGAACTGTGTATTCAGGCTGCTTTCTACAATATTGCCAATCACCTTTTTTGGACTCTGAAGTGATATTTTCTTATCTCTCTAGCGGTTTCATTTGCATGCATTCTGTAACTATGCACAAGCAAAATATATTATCTACTTTACCTATTTAAAAATAAGCACAGTGGTGAATAAAATCAATTTCATTTTTCTGACCCACACCATTCTAATTGCTTAGGTTCACATCAATGGAAACTGGAACTGATGTTGTATGAGGGTTAGGGCAAATATCTGCTCATACCATATGAAAATGAGCTTCTAAAGATACTTTCACTGTTGGGAAAAAGGAGATAAAAATGTTATTTATAACAAGGCCTTATGTTCTGTACATATATTGTCCTTGAAATATTTTTGATTTTACTTTATTTCTTGTAAAAGAGAAATTCTATAATTTATTTAGAAAATACTACTGTAAACTTTAGTTTTATTGATGAATAAATGATTTTTTTCTGAAGACTATCACTGCTGTCATCCTGCTATTGATCTATACTGGACATAATTGTTCTTGCATTTCTCTACCTTCATGGGACAGTCTTAAGAGGCCTCTTGAGATATGACAAACACGGAATCAGTCTTTACCAGCTCTATAATCATAAGGGGAATCTTGAAATTAGAGCAGGAAAGCCAAAGGAACATACTCAATAGGCACTGCTTTATAAAACCATTTCAGGTTTTTCAGTATGGGAAGTTATTTTAGGGTAACTGCAGAAACTGTTTTAGTTCCCTAATTTCCCAAGTAACAGGAGATAATCACAAATGCCAATGATCATCAGTCCAAGATTTCATGCTTCAATGCAGGGGTGTATTTAAAAATTTGCACAGATGTCACTTAGAAAGCTACTGAAATTATTGGTAATAACATTTCTTCTAGGAGTAAGCTTACTAAACTTGCTAATTGGACAAAACCTGAACTTGGCATTTAAAGTCCTAGAATTATTCTTTGTACCTGTATAGAATTTTTTTTAAGGATTTGGTGTGGTGGATTTTTTTTGTTTTAGTTTGGTGGGGGATGGTGTTTTGTTTTTTTTTAATTTTACTTTGATGTAATCCTGACGAGTAAGAAGAATAATTCCTTAATTATGCACAGTATAGAGAAATTTAAAGGGGTTTGGGTTTTTTACCTTCTAAGTATACATTGCCTAAGGCTTCCTTTGCTTGGAGCCTGTATCTCATGATTACCACTTTTATAGGCTTTAAAATTAGACTGCTTAATCTCAGCAAGAAAACTATTCTGCAGGTCTGAGAAAAGTAAAACCAATCTTCATGTCCTATGAGTAAAACATTTTGTACATCTCTGTCAAGTGTCTGTTCCTTTATGTACAGTGTACAGAATATTTAGAATGTGTCTCTGTGCAAAGCAGATACTTGTCAATAGTCTCATTTGGGGAAAAAACATTTAAGCACCCAATTAACCTTCATAAAGAACACACATGACAATTTTTCCCCAATTATCTAGTAACTATAGGATCTGAATCACTTGTTCTTAGGAAGAACCCAAAGGATTCACAACTTAACTGCAACAATTCTGTCCAAAACCAGAATGTCTGTACCAAACTATTCAGAGACTGAGACATCTTTTGTATACAATCTCTTTGTCATGGGCAATTTAATTTTATATAACTCAACAGTATTTTCCCAAACCCTTCCTAGACAATGATACAAGAGCAATCAGTAGCACACTCCCCCTGTTCTTCATAGAAGCCATTTGCTGAAACATTTAATATTTGCTTTAAGTAAAAAAATCTATCAGCTCTTTCCAGACTGAATGGGTGGGGCATGACCCTGCAGGGCTTCTGCATCTGCAACTCCTTCACAAGTATTTATACCAGCATAAAAAGGTACTGATGCCAGTATTGTGATACGAACAACATTAATTGTTGTTCCTGTTGCTCCTAAGGGACAAGAATCAAGATTAAAAACATTTTAAAACTATTGTTATAATTGCTAATCCCTAATTAGAGCCCTTTAGAAGTTGTGTGACTGATCCTTGCTTGGTAGTAGCATCTTGTAAAATTCACTAACTTGAACTTTACATTTGAATTAACTGTTGTTAAATTTATAAAAGATTTGGTATGTGAAATTGCTCGTACTAGAGAAAATGTTTAATCCACACAAATTCATTAATTTGTCATTAGCCTAGAAACACAAGATGAACATTTCCTGCTGAGAGTTGTGTATGACTTGGATGACTAGAGAAAAATCACTGTGAAACTAGTTGGATAATATAAAAAAAAATACCTGAGGTTATTTTTATAGGAGAGGCAAGCTATATAAATAAGCACCATCTTTAAATAGATTAAATACTACATAAAAGAATAGGTATTCTTCCTTTCTTCTAGCTGTTTCCCCCCTCTTTGTTACCAAGGTATGAAAAATCAGTTGTTTGCTTTACCAATGATATCTGTGGTCTGATACAAGTTATTTGTTCCTACAAGCCTTATCTCAGTCTGTAAACTATTATTCCTGCAGAAACATAAGTAGCTTCTCCCAGCAGGGCTAAGAATGGGTTGTTCTTCAAGGAACTAAAGAGTATCTTAAATCTGCTTGGTGTATTAAAGCCTCCCCCACAAAATACAACAAAAACACAAACTGAGAAGAACATTGGTAACAAAGAAACCCACAGGAGTCTGTTGAAAACAGACAAGAAGCTGGCTGAGTCAGGTAACAGTTTGATACAAACAGCTTTTAGGTAAAACAGCCTTCATAATTTCAGCCTTGAAATTTGCGCAAGGGGCTTGTTTGAGCTTTTTTGCCTTGTGTAGAGTAAAATAATTTTGGCTTATAGAAAAATATTATAAAATTACAGATCTTGGTGAGAAACTTGATAACTAATTCCCTAATGTGGTGGAAGATCACAGAATCAATAGAGTAGTTTGTATTGGAAGGGACCTATCAGGGTCACCTAGTCCAACCCCTCTGCCATGAGCAGGGACATCTTCAACTAGATCAGGTGGCTCAGAGCAACTAGCTGCTTACTTTAATTAAGAGTTTTTGAAATATAAAAATGCATCACACAGTAACCAGCGGTAGGCTTCTGAAGCTTTTGGTCCTGTCCAGTGGAAGGCTCTGAAGTGAAAGTTGTCAGTGTTCCCACAGAAACTGTGCAGGTTTTTAAAGAAACCTTTTTATAGAAATTATTTCTTACCTCTCATCTATTTGGCAAACCTAGTTTATTTCTTTCAGTTTAAGTAACAATACGACATGTCTGGCTGAGACTCCACATCTTCACATACTGTTGATAGTATGGCATCATCAGCATTTATGTAACTTAGCGGAAAATGTCAGGTGTGATAAATTATGTGCTTTATTTTCCCTTCAGTGGCTCAGCGAGACATTTCACCTGCAGGATGTGGATCAAAATACTTCCTGTCACAGAAAATAGTCCTCTAACGGGTCCCTGAGTGAATGCTTAGTGCGTAGTGTGGGTTTTAATTGCTATTTTTCCCCAGGCGCCAGCTCCTTGTAAATCTCCTCAGCGCGGCCGCTCTGCGTGAGCAGATGCCAGCAGACACTGGCCCAGAGCGCTCACTGTCTGCTCTGAGAGCAGCGGCGAGCTGAAGGCGCTCAGCGGGGGCAGGCCGCTCCTTGTCTCTGTGACACGTCGGGGTCCACATCTCGCCGAGGGGAGCCTGAGCAGCACACCGGGGCCGGCACCCGTTTCCTAGGGACAGCCGTGCCAGGCCGTGCTAGAGACGAGGGAAAGACACCGGGATAAGGCTGGCGGGGAAACCACCGCCGCCGCCTCGAAAGCCTCGCCGGGCGGACAGACCGTGCTCGGCTCCGATACACCTGGGCTGTCTCGGTAGCAAAGCACTTGGATTTGATTTATCCTGGCGCTGCTGAGGCTGGAGGCAGCAGTGGCTGGGAGGAAGGGAAAACCCGCACACTCTGCCTCTGCTCGGCTCTGCCGCACGGCCGAACGAGCCCTCAGAGCCCGGGCCTGGCCCCGCCGCTCCCCTCGCGCCGCCGCGGGGAGGCGGTGGCGGACGCCGGTCCGGCCCGGCCCCGCCCCGCCCCTTCCGCAGCGGCCCGGGCGCTATGTGGCGGGCGGGGGCGGCGGGCGCCGTGCGCGCCGCGGGACGGGCGGCGGCGGCGGCGGCGGCGGCCGGGGCGCGGCAGCGCGGCGGCACCGGGGACGCCCCGAAGGCGGGCACAGCCGCCGCCGGCAGTGGCTGCACGGTGAGCAAGGGGCGGGCGGACGGCGGGGGCGAGGCGCGGCCTGCGCGGCGGCGGGCGGAGCGGCCGTGGCCGAGCCCCGGCTGGGGCGGGCGGGCAGGGAGGGAAGGGCGACAGGCGGGGATTCGCCAGGCGGCCGCCGGCTCCGGGCGGGTCTGTGTCAGCCCGCGGTAGCCAGGCCGGCGCCGCCGCCCAGCCTCCTCGCAGGCCGGCCGGTAGCGGGGCGCGTCTTCTCCTGCCCACTCTCCCGCCTGCCTTCTACTTTCTCCTTCTCTCCGTGTCTCGGGAGCTGGCGCACACCGGAGCTGGTGCATTCGTCTGCTGCCCCTCTCCAGGCGCAGAAGGCGGTGCTGGCTGCCCTCAGCCGGCTGTGGTACGCGGAGGCAGGGCCGGCTGTGTGCCGGCACCGCTGTTGACAACCTCCAGTCACAAACCGAATATAGGAGCACACTGAAGGAATTAATGCCTCTCAGCCTGGACAGAGCTTGAACGTGCTCGAGGTCTTGTAGGTTTTGATTCTGAACGTGTATAAAATGCTGTAGGGTAAGGGGTGCAGTCAAGAATATAAGCAGTGAGCGTGGTGTATTTTGTCGGCCTGTATCTTTGTGTCGCCGTTCTATCTTTTCTGCCTGTGTCGTGGTTTTGCACTAACAGGCAGCTCATTGCTAATACATGCGGATAGGTGGTACGCCACATGGAGAGAGATCGGCCGTGCTTGAAGAGAGGCTGACATAGCTCCTTTGCAAATGTCACTTGCTTTTCAAGTCCGTCTGAAGTTTTCAGAACCTTGCATGAGTACACAGAAAGTAATCATGAGTGCTGTTCTACCATTAAACCGAATAGTCAGCGCCAGTTAGGAAGAAAATGCAAATCATGCCATCTTCCTTTCCCGCTGGATAGGATAAGTACTTCTGCTACTGTGTCTGGCCTGGGGATACAGCTTTTCCATAATTTGGAAATCTGGAATCTGAAGTGGTTTTGACTCTTTGGAGGAGTCAAAGGAGGATCCACGGTTTTTGCTTGTTTCAGCTTAATACGTTCCTGACTTCCAGCAGAGGGACACATGTTGGTAGTGAAGCATTTGAGTAGTGGATACTTAGGAAAATCTGAGCCTAAGCTATTTAATAGACCGAAGTTGCTCGGTAATTCTGTGGCAGAGCAATAGAAAAGTTAGAATAGTTCTCTTTTCCTAGTTCATTCTTCTATGAATGAGAGGGTGTGGGGCTTTATTCCATTAGCTTGCATAATGAAGACAGGGATAATTCTAGATTGCTTCAATTATCTGAAGACTAAAGCTGCATAATTCCTTCCATATTAGCCCTGCAATATAGAATATGAACATTTTACTTGGGATGGAAAGGACTTAAAGGAGCTGTTTAATTTATATGATAAATACATAGTTTGTAATTCATTACATTTTAACTTTAATTCCATTTTGTTTCTGCTTACTTTAAACAGCAATTACAATATTATTCAGATGTGAAGAGCAGGACTGCTTGGTTCATGAATTTGAGAAATGCAGGAACTCTGAGTGACACAAGGTAAAAATACATTTTGAGATATTCATATGAAAATATTGGTTATGTATTTTAGAATAACTTACATACGTACTAATACTACCAAACTAATGTAATGTTGACGTGATGTAAAGGACAACTATAGTTTCAGCTAAAAGCATTTTGTGTGTATTTACGAAGTCACTTAGAAAATACACAAATTACAAAATTGTGTACCTAAACACAGGTGTCTAGCACCATTTCACATGTGCCAGAGGATGAGAAATTTCTGCTTGTTCTGAGAGAACATGACACAGCGTCTGTTGGAGACTTCTCCCTTCTGATGCAGCAGTTGGAGACACAGTAAAAGATTATGCAGATGTCTGAAATGGCTCTTGCCTTTAAGTGCCTGAAGTGGACCTTGAACCTGTTCATGAATCCTGCCCAATCCAAAGGCTTTCTGTTCCCCATGCCCCAAAGCATTTCATGGTGTCCTTCACATAAGTGACATAGAGCATATTTCGGTAACTGGATAAGAAACTTTTCTAAAAGTTTCTATTACCAATTGATATATATTATATATTCAGCCCATAGTAGCTGTTCCATTGCCTTAAGCATTAGCAAAAATTGCGATTATTTTCCTGAACTGTTTGCTGGCAGGGAGACCCCTTTCCACACTCAGCTGAAAGCTGACACTGATAGAGGTGGAACAGCTTACATGATTTTAATTACATTTGTTTAATTAAACTGTTCTACTCTTGATTCCACTAAAGACTAAAAGAGAATTGGTCTCACAGGTGCTTTAAGCCTTACGTAATGGCCACAAGGGTGCTTTGAGACTCTCTGGAGTAGTCTGTAATTCATAAGTGTTAGTTCATAAGCACAGTTTAAATAACATCTAATTACCAGGTTGCATGGGTAATTCCAGTTGAGGAGGCAAATGCTATGCATAAACATGACATGTGATACTGATATTTCTAAACTGTGTATAGCTACAGCAAGTTTTGTAGAGTCAAATGACATATTTCTAAATGGGAGATGCTTTTGTCTCTATTTGTAGAGTTCAAAACTTACACAAAGTCCTATTATGAAAATTCCTTACTTTGAAATCTGATGCTGTTTACTAAATGGGGTTAGTATATCTAAGGAAGTAAGTAGCTTTTCCTCAGTTAAGAGATCTCTAATACCAACTAATTTCAAAATTTCACCTCCATTGATAAGGTGGATTGTCAGTTACATCACCTTAAGAAAAATGACTACTTGTTTTATAAGATCATTTCATGGTTACAGTTTCATCCAAAGTTGTGTTCTTGGTATGATTTTATTGTAGGGAAAATGCTATCTTCCATGCTTTTCCTCCTAATTGTGGACTTCTATGTCATTTGTAGCTCTTTAGATGAGACAACCTATGAGAAACTGGCTGAAGAAACACTGGACTCCTTAGCAGATTTCTTTGAGGACCTGGCAGATAAACCTTTTACCCCAGAAGATTATGATGTCTCTCTAGGGGTATGTTTTAAACATTATATTACCACTGTAATTATTGTAGGGGGTTTTTTTTCCTATTATTTGAAGGAGAATTTTAAATTAGTCACCTTAATGCTGACACTGAAAATACAATGAATTTTTACACATTTATTGTATACTGACCAGGGCAACAACTCTGGTGAGAAGTAACACATACCATTGTGTGATTTAGGGATTCAAAATTTTTCATGTTTAGAGAAAGACATAATATAGAATAATAAATGAGCACAGTGGAGATGGAAACTGTTTTCTTATTTTACATTGATCTATAAATTTTCCTAAACAGGCACAGTCAGTTCCCTTCTGGTGAACTACATGGCACAGTACATCACATGTAACTGTTAGAGCAGTTCTTTGGTTGCCCTGAATACAGATAAGCAGCATTTGTATTGACTAGGTAGTGTATGTTTGTCCTGGCTTTAATGATGACAGCCTGTGGTGGAGAGAAGCAACAGGAGGGAGGGTGCAGTGTTTGGATAGGTTGTTGCAGAAGTGAGACCAGAGCCTACATGGGGAAGAGGCTACTGTCACAGGAGACATTGCATGGCTGGAGCCTTCAGTAGTCAGTTACTCAAATACAGGAGTGACAGACTCAGAACAAAAATGTCTGTGTTACTTGTATAGGGAATTTATTAGTTTTTATATACATTCAGTTCCTGAAGTGATCTATGTGTTACAGCCCTCAACATGACTTGGAGAAGAGTGCTGTTTCTCCCTACAGTACTGTCTGCTACACAGGTTTTTCAATACTGCAGTTTTTTGAGATCACATAATTATTGCTCCCTCTTCATGTCTTAACCACAACGAGATTGCTTTGTACTGGCACTGTCAGTTAAGTTTTTGTGCTCCAGAATGGTGAATCAGATGGTCTGGGTTTCAGTGTGCAAAATACAAAACCAAAACAAAAGTCTGTAGTTTTTGGACTTCCTTGTGTAGCTTTGTCATCATAATTTTCATTCTGTATTTCTGATAGCTAGGATATAAAATAACATATTGCCAGTAGCTTTCTGTTTAGCAAATACTACTTGTTGCTGTAATTAAGTATATAGATAATGTTACAGCTAATTGCTTTTCTGGTAAAAAGCATTTTAAAACATTACTCTTCAGTATGTTTTAGGAGATCAATATACCTATTAGCCTGATGTAACTATCCTAGGACAAAAATAAGCAATAGTTGAAATTTACCTTTTTAGTATTCCTAAACACTTCAGTATGCTAAGCTGATGAGTCATGTCATAATTTTTTTCTCCATCTACTGTATGGTGGATTATGTTTGACATTGACTTGTGAAGCTCAAGAGCTAATACTTTTACATCCTTATTTTTGCCAGTGGTCCTTTACTATATAGACAGGATGATGACAATTAATAATATGCTGTCATTTCTGTTGAAAGGAGAAGGTTAAATAGCCCAGATTTTAATTCTAAACAAAGAGGGTCAGTGCTGCAAGAAACCACAAGGTGGCAAATGTGATAAAGGTCTGCTGTGCCTTTTGTAACTGTGAGTGCTTTGAGCAATTTATATCTTCGTGTTCAGAAAAAAAAAGAATCTCTTTAGAAGAATATTTTTGTTACCAGGAAGTAGAAAACATTCATCCAGTAGTACAAAACACATACAGCAGTATTTCTTAAAATATGGTAAAAGTATCTTGCAATTTAATTTCTTAAAAAAATTCAAGTAATATTTTCTAGTATTTGAGAAGTACTGTAAAATACATGAGAAAATGTTTCAACACATCAGTAGAGGTAAACCTCTATTTACCTTGCAAGGATAGAGGAACAATACTTTCTAACAGCTGACACAGGGTATAAATAATAGTATAATTTTTTGTTAACTCTTTGAAAACCTATTTACTTATAGTGTGTCTGTAGAAACATGTAGCATGCTGAATACTTAGTATGGCATTACAAACCTCATAGAAGAATGCTATATACAGAACCTGTATATCATTATGCAGGCCTAATCCTCCATCCTGTTGTTATTCTGCTGTATCTCTACAATTCTAAGACCATGGGATATGGAAAACTTGAAGTTCTGACAACCAGAGGAAGTAGCTTGTTCTTGCCCTTCTGTGCACTGTACTAATGTCCAATAGAAATAACTGGCAGGACAAACCTGATGGGATTTGTAACCAGAAGACACTTTTATTGCTTCTATCACAGATATATATATTCTGTGCCTTAAGCACAGAAACAGCAGGGAAACTAAAGTAAAAAATCAGATCCTGAGAGTATTATTTTAAGCCCAGTGCTACTTGAGATAGTTCCTCTGAGTTACTTTGTAAGGGAAGGAAGCTTTGAGTTGCTGCTTGTGCTACAGAGTATGTTGGCAGGCAGTAGATGCTCATGCCTGAAAGTATTTTTCCCCATAGTGAGTGTTTATACACAAATAGCCCAGGCAATGATATGTACCTCTAGTAGTATCTTCTGACTAAAGCATGAAAGGAATGATACCCTTAAAGAAGCTTTGTTGTGCCATAGGGCTTGAAGTATTTGAGATACTGTGAACTAAATAAATTATAATCTCAATCGTCACATTGCATTCTGTAGAAATATTTCCCTTTTTAATTAGTATCATTCAGATCACCTTTAGATCAACTCCAGTCCAAATATTGTTGTTTTTTCACTCTTAAAATCAGAACAGAAAATATTTTTGTCAGTTACTAGAAACATGAATTATGTTGTCAGTAAGAAATATGAGCAAGAAAGAGAAAATAAATGTTCACCAGGATAATGGTCTAAAGGTGGCATAACCACAGCAAAACCAGACTCATGGAAAACCAGAATCTTGGGATTTAGAACTGGAAGATTTTTTCAGGAATGAATCAGAATTATCAAGAAAAATGTGTTTGTTCCCTGTTAAACTGTTACCATTACTGAAGAAAAGTAAGGTAGAATTGCATGGCTCAGAAATCTAGCAATGACACATAAAGCTTCTTGGCTTTGAACCACACCAGTTCTGCATTGTTCATTAATATAAAAAAGTTGTTATTGGACGATGTTTTAATCATTGCAAAATGAATTGCAATGGTCTGGTCTTTTCAGGATGCCAGGTCCAAGCTCAAGAATATTATTTAAGTAGTAATATTGTGAATGGTACAAACACACGAAAATCAAACTCTGACCAGAAGGTCTAAAGTCTAGATCAGACTCAAAGATATGCTTGGTTAAATGATCATTCTCCTTAGCTATTATTGTTTGGGAAGATGGTTGAGAATCTGATACAGGTATGTAAGTTTCTGCCAGTGCAGGTGAAGTAATTGTTGTCAAAGTAACGGGATACAAATTTTTTATTTCTTTCTTTGTCTTTTAAGAGTGGAGTACTAACAATTAAATTGGGTGGAGACATGGGAACATACGTAATCAATAAGCAAACACCAAACCGGCAGATTTGGCTGTCCTCACCCACTAGGTAAGTTAGTTACATAATATCTGCAGACTGGGTGGAAATGTATTTCCTCTTATTTATAGCATGGCATGATCATGTAATATCCTTTTCATAAATAACCCTTCTACTAGGTATAGTCTCAAAATGTGATATAATCTAAATGTTCAATAATGGTTTGGTATAGGGTTTCGGTCACACTGCAGTATTACTGGCATACCTAAATTAATTGTTACAGGAAATGTGTAACAAAGAATTTTCATATGCTGTTTCAGCCCAAAACCACTGCCTACAGGAATATAGCTTACTCATAGGAAATATAACCAGCAATGATTAAAAAGAAACAAACAAAGCTTCTGTTGGAAAAAGAGTGATGATGATGTCATCATCTAAACCTCTCTTTCTTTGTGTTTTAAACAGGGTGGCTCCTTCCCTTTTAAGCTTGTGGGATTTCCTGCTTTATATGTTTATGTATGCCACACTGGTTGTTTTTGTCCAGCCTCTGCATTTCACAGGAGACTTAGTTAGCTGCTTCCTCTGCCTTTCCTAATGATGTGTTTTGATCCATTTCAGGTTTTATGCTTGGTTTCAGCAAGAAGGCCAGCCATATAAGTGGGAAAATGCTGTAGCTATCCCTTCTCAAAATCTGTATTCTTGCCATGATCCCTTGAAAAGAACCCGGGGAGCTGATAAGTGTTAATGGTGAAGGAACAAGCTTATAAGATTTTTGTGACACACAGGCTTCATCTCTTTATAGAAACCAAAATTCAGATAATTCCTGTCTGTTTAGCTCCAGGCGAACTAAGACATATGTGCTACAGAATATGGAGTTTGAGGAAAAAAGTTAAATTTTTCCTTTTTATACTCCCTTAACTGGTATTAGATAAACAGTGGTATTTCCTGGAAAATGATGCTATGTATTCACTTATTTCCTAACTTCTGAAAGGCAAGTCCAGCAAATACTGTATGATCTGAACTGTCATCTCCTTAACTGTAGTATGCTGGGAATTGAAAAAAGGAAGTGTTGCTGCCAGTAATTGCTTGCATTGAATGTTTTGGAGCATTTTTACACTAAATGTTGACCTTTAGTCTTATATTCCTGGGGAGACTAATTTGTCAAGTTGTGAGACATTTTTCTTGGAATTTTATTTTGCCATCGAGTATCTGTACACCTGAGTGAAAACTTTACTTAGTTGACAGTTACAAAAAAGGGGCATGAGATAATGTGTGCAACCTGCCAGCAGTGTAATTGCAGTAATTTAATGTAGCTCCTGACTGAAAAGACTTTTCAGCCTTACAGAATGTTAGCAATAGCTTAATGTGATATTATAATTCTTTTCTCTTATGGTTGAAATATATATGCAGACTTTCCATGAGAAATACATTTAGTCTATTATTAACTTGGTATGCATTTTTGCTTAAACTGTTAATTTGAAAGTCACATTTGTACAGTCTTTTGGAGATTCATAGAACTATGAAGGTGTTTCATGGGCTAACCTTATCACTGATATTTACTGCATAACATTTAAAACCAGTTCAGATAATATACATATTTCTCTGTCATTGATTAAATGACAAATCTTAACCTGATTTTTATGTGACAGGATGACGGAATCCTATTCCATCGTTCTCTGGGTGCAGGAAAGTATAAACATAAGCCTCTGCTGCAGAGGTGAAGTGAGAAATACTTAGTAAAATAACTGGAGCACATAACCCTGATTAAAACAGTTACTACTTCTGATGCAGACAGTGAAAGTGACTTGGATTTATGCTTGCCTTTGTAACTTCTCATACATTGAGCAGTGGTTGGAAAGTTCTTCATTTGACTATTGTGAGTAACTCGGGATAGTCAAGGTTCAGATCAGTGCTTATGCTTGTAGAGAAAGAACTTGCAGATTGTTCTTATGTATGTACAGGTTAGTCTGTTTTTTAGCACACTTGACATGTTGACTGAGTTCCAAGTTATTTGTCCTGCAAAATCAAGGGTTTCTCCATTTATCCCAGATAATAATTTCATTCCTTTCTGTTTTCTTTGCTTATCTAATGTTACCAGTAGTGAGTACCTTTGAGTCATTCTCTCACTTGACATTTGGAAAACAGGGCGGATAGCAAGGTCTGGAGTAGAACCCAGGTGTTCAAGTTTCTTTCTTGGTACTTAATGTAAGCCTGGAAAAACTAATTCAATTACAATATAATAGCACAGACAAAAATAGCATTTTAGCATGCCAATATATTTGCTTTCAGGGGCTAAATTATTTTGTTGCATCTAAAAGGAAATTATTTGTGCTTTGCTTTGCTTAGAATATTTGCAAGAACTAATCAGTGGCATTAATTCAGCATTATACAAATATCTGTAGTGATATTTGTGTGCAAGAAAATTATATCTGTGAGGGAAGATTGGGATAAAGGAAAGAATTGTGGGGAAATCAGTGCCAAAAGCAGGAAGGGAAAGTGCTTGTCTCCCCTTGGAGTGACTGATGTATCTTGTCACCTTTCAGATATATCTATTTGATGGCTTAGTAGTTCCTGACATATCAGGCCTTTTCTGCTCCACTTCCTCAGACTGCCCACCAGCCGTTCCCCATGCTCTCTGTTCCTTTTCCTGGGCACTCTGTCACATACATTATGCATACAGGCTTCCAGCAGGTCTCCTGAAATAATGTGTACTTACACAGTGTGTGATGTTCTGTTGTGTTTTTTTTCTAGTGGGCCCAAGCGCTATGACTGGACTGGACGGAATTGGGTGTATTCTCATGACAGAGTATCTCTTCATGAACTACTATCAAAAGAGTTTTCAACAGCTTTAAAAACTAAATTGGATTTGTCCTGCTTAATATATTCTGGGAAAGAAGATACTTGATTGTATTCTACCTCATGGAAGTTTAAAGACTTTAACCTCAAGCCAAGGTCTTTCTTAGGCTGAAGTACCTGAGCTTAATTCTGTTGTTTTTCTTGGCATCAATATATTGTGCAACAAAAATGAAAATAACATTTTTTTTCCTCTAGTGCTCAGTCTTTGGATTTCTGTGGGCTTTTTGAATCTGTGCAGTACACATGGTTGAGGTTGCCCATCCTGTCACTTCATTTCTTGCTTTCTTCCTTCAGAAGTCATGAATTTTTAGTTTCTAAAGACTTGTTTGCATGTAAGGACTGACTGCCTGGTGACTTCTGACCAGCACACAAACACTGAACTTTCCTTGGTGAAATATTCACCCAAAACAAGAAATGCCTGTCAGTTACATTGACATAAATTGTGGTACTGTGAACGTATTGCCTAAAAATTTGGCAATTGTAATACATCATAGTCACATTTAATATGTCATAGTGCACATAATGACAGTTTTCTTAGTTTTTCAGAACTTGCTATTCTCCAGATTCTAAATTGTAGTGTATTTCACCTCAGGATTTTTTTTTTGAGCTAAGCTTTAAATTACTTAGACATTTTTTGTGGTTCTGAGCATGATATGCAACTGGAAAAGCTAGTATGTGAAGTTTAAGCTGTATAGCAATACCTCTGCAAACATTTAATTCTGTTACTGTGCATTTCTCTTTCTCTACCTTTTTGTTCTTCAAAGAGTGAAAATACTTTTTTTTTTGAGCTAAGCAAAATTAAGTTGATGAAAATTTGCAGTAATTTTATTCTACTGCATTTCTTCAATAGTTTTAGATTATCTTCTTATCACCATGATGCAGCAAGTCTCCCCCTGGTACTGTGCTGATGGAGAAATTTCTTAGAATCAAGTATTGTTCTTAGGCTGATGAAGCTCTCTTCATTAGGCTATTAAATATGTGAAGGAAATAAACTATATACTCCAGATCTTCCAACAACAACATTTAAAGAAATAATGAACAGCAATACTTCAGCAATTGCACTGTTGTAATATTACAGCTTGGAGATTTTAACTGTCTGTAAAATGGAAGGACCAAAATATTGACTAATGCATGAGGGAAAAATTATACCATGCTCTTGCAGATTGTATGAAAGGATGTTCAGTGCACAGTATATTTCTTTTTGGTTTCTCTGATGCTGTGGTTAGTTTAGCATGATTCTCTAGCTAGCTTGACAGGTAAGGATTGATTTTGTCATTGAAAAACAATAACTGTAAAGTGTTCTTGCCCAGTATTTGCATTTAGAGTATAAGCATTGTTACCTGCTATTTCTCACTACTAAACAGAGAAATGTTTCAATGGAAGTAGCTCTTGGTTAATGGTTCATGCTCTGTGCATGTTTTACAATCAATATAAATTTCAGCACTACTGGATGAGGTAATTACAATGACTCCCAGACCTCATAAGAGTAAAGCATGTTTTTTCAAAAAAGTACAGGGAGGTAAAAATAGAATATGTTTTTGCTGTTCTGAATTTAGAACACTGAAGATAATTTATAGCATATGGAAATATGTATTTTTATGTAGTTACTTTTATAATATTTAACTCAGTCTCCTATAATTTCAGATAGTCATTTAAACAAATTTGTGTAGAAGTTAATGACTTGATACTTGAGTCAAGGATACCTGGTTATTCCTTTGCCTGACCATGTGAAATTATTTTTTCCAATTGACTTCTCCAAAAATTATTTTCTTAAGTATTTGCATGCAATATTACCACTAATATGCATCTGATTCATATTTTGGAAGTTAATTTTCCATCGCCTTACATCTGGTAGAAATGTTTATACTGAAATAAAATTGCATGTGAAATTCTTAATTCATTATGTAAAGGTGTGATTCGAGAGTTTGATGATAAGGGTGAAGGCCACAGACTTGCATACTTTTGAATTCTTTCTGTTTTGTAAAACACATACTGGAAAGATTCTGTGCAAGTGTGGCCAGTTGACGTGAATTTTGTAAGAGCAGTTCAGCTTTCACAGTTTACATGCCTTGCCCTTTATCTGTAATGATACTGCTATTTATGCAAACAATTTCCTGGTTTAGGTATCTGAGTAACAAATGCATTTAATCTTAGCTGAAGATAAATAGTGTCAGCAAGTTAGAATGAGTTTTATCTCGATGTACAAAATGAATCATAGGACATGACTCATTTTTTGCTTTAATACTTGCATACAGTTGTAAGCAGGGGGCAAGGACTCCCTGAGCCATCACACTTGTACAATGGAGGCACAGAACGAGCTCTGATCCTAATGTCAGACTGCTTATTGCTCCAAGACAAGTAACACTTCTGCACTGTTTTTACTTCCATAACTTACAGAATAGAAAGACTGTTGAATAGTTCCCCACATGACATCATGTCAATAGTTTCTTGCTTCACCTCTCCCAAAAGAAATAGCTGAAGGACAATCATTAAATACAGACTATGCACAGACAGTATTAATAAGAACCACTGTGTTATGGTCATTACTTTTTTCCACAATGCAGTGCTCCACTGTTGGTGAGGAGAACATGCAGAATATTTTGGAATGATGAGTTGCCATTTCATAGCTTTACTGGCTGTCTAAGCTCAGCACATAAATTGGGGTGTGTTGGGCTTTTTTTAGTTACACCAGAATTTTCATCAACTGCTAATCTGACCTAAGTTCTTGTCTGGTGTTTGCTTGTTTGCTTTTCCACTTGTGGGTAATTTGTAAGAAAACATTACTTCTTCTTTGTAGGATTGTTCTTTGTGATAGAATCATTACATCTTATTTCCTTAATATTTGGCAACTTCAATAAATGGGATAAAGGCCTGTCTTGAAGAGGAGGTACTGGAATAAAAGAAAGGGGGTTTACAGGAAGGCTTGTGTTTGATTATTTTTAGCTTCTGGTTAGTGGTTGAACTCCGCGATTGTGCTAACCAGCTCGGTAATATGTGGAAGTCCTGGGAAGGAAGGCAGAGGCTTGCCAGAAAACTTGGAAGAACATTCAAAATAGTAAAGGAAGCATGGGAGGGGCAGAAGCAAAGTCTATCAGGAAGAAATTAGCTTTGCCCAACAGCAGATGTCGTTGGCAGGGCAAGGAGAGATGTGCGGCAAACTGCTTCATGTCGCCTTTTAGGGAATGGTGTTTTAAATTTATTTCACACCACTATATATAATTGTAACCAATCAAACATGTTCCAATCCATTTTGCTATTGAGATTTTCATTTTTAATTCCTGTATAAAGATAAGAAAAATTTGTGTGGAGTTACATCCATCTCTCTCCCAAATTGTCTTTTATGTAAATTGTACTGCTGGCAGTGGTAGAACAAAGACAGTATTCATGCTTTTTACTGAGGGAGGTGACCAGTGGAGGTTGCTTTGCTGCTGATAGGATAAACAGAGCCATGAACAATTAAAGTGTTCTAAACAGTTCTTAACTGCAAACTTTTTTTTTGAAATTCAGGTTAAGGAAAGACAGACAAGTTTAGATTAGAAAACAATATGTTTTTAAAATAAGGCATATAATGTTGCTGCCCTCTCCAGTTTGCTGAATTGATTTTTAAATTGTTTGTGTTGTGGTAATTATGCAAAGTGATCAGTAACACAGTGAATAAGTTTTCAAGCATTGTTACTTTCCAGATGAAGGCTCTTCTGCTAGCCATCAATGTTCTCTACTGTTGTACTAAAAGAAATCAGTTACATATTTAATGTGTCCATAGTCTTACTCCTCTAAACAACATTTTAGGAGCATTAACCAGACATCCTAAGGCCACTGTTACAAAAGATTTTGAGAACTAACAGATGAAGTTTTAAAACATTCATTAAGGAAAAATGCACTCACCACAGTGTAAACCAATAAATCTGACACATACCTGGAATAAAACTAAATTTCCATTTCTTGTGCCTTGATTCTGCCTAAAAGTAATATTGCATTACGTGCTGATCATAGAATTAGTCTGTAGGTGACTGAAAACACCAAGTTTATAAATTAGCCCTGATTTAGTCTTTTTTTTTCCTCTGTTTTTTGCTGTTGAGGCTTTTAGACTGAAATAGGTACTTGAAGGCTAGTGTATGCACTTGCATGTTAATTATTAACAATAGCCAGAAGCAGGCCTTTCCATACAATATCTGAATGCAGTTTCATATTTGCTCTAATAAAACAGGTTCTTTCAGGGCCTCCTTCCAAAGTCCAGCCCCTTCACGAAGAATACTGTTTGCCTTCCTTATCTTACTTTCTGTATGAGATACAGTGCATGAACTGTTCCTATTGAGGAAGAGATTTGTCTGAGTTAGAAATGCAGTGGGAATCTAGTATATTTCTCACCTGCAAATAGCAACAAACCATAAAACTTTAAGTAGACTTTGTTCGGCAGGCCTGATACGGGTGGGAGTGTGCTGTTTAATTTTAGAGGGGCTTGCAAGGGGTTTAACTGTCCACCAGATAAGACAGCAGATAAGGAATTCCTGGTGACATTTAGTGCTTTACAATGCAAAAGAAATACGACTCCAAAGAATCCTGCCAGGGCTGTTTGGCCTTGCCTTTCTCATCTCAGCTGCAGGACAGCAATGATGCTGAAAGCTGATACCTGTGGAATGCCAGCCTGGAGTGTATTTCTCTCATGGTATGTTGCAGTTTCGGGAACGGTATTGGTGGACTTGCAGAGTGACACGGGGTGTTGCGGCCTGGAAATGGAGCTATTCTGCCTTCTGCTAATCCTGGATATTTCAGCTGAGAGTGATGATGTGAACAGAGCTCTCCCGAGCTGTCAATAAAGTGGCAGCAGCTATTCTGTGATAAAGAGCAGGGAAAAGCAGATCGAGAGGCGTACGTGGAAAACTGCGCTGTGGTGTTAAAGGCTGTCTCAGAGGTCTTCCCGTTAGAAAGGTTCAGATGGGCAATGATCCCAAAGTTCCAAACACACTGATGTAAACGGAAAACACACCCAAGCGCTGGGCTGGCTGACGGTGCGCTCTGCCAGCGGCGACCGGGCTCCGCCGTGCCCGCCCGTAGGTCCGCTCTGCTGCCTGGGCCCGGCGCGGGGTGCCTCGGGCAGGGCCGGGCACCAGACCCGGGGGGCAGAGCCGGGGTCCCCTGCCGGGAGCCGGGACGGGCAGAGAAAAGCCGGGGGGCGGGGCGGCCTCGCCGCGGT